CCTCCCCTCTTCTTACCCCCTCCCCTCCTCCCTCTCTTCTTACCCCCTCCCCTGTAGCGTGGCCGAGCTGCACTCCGGTCCGCGGTGGCCGGCCGGCCGGAGTGATAGGAAGGTGCACACTCAGTGTGCACTTCCTGTCAGTCCGGTCGGTAACAGGAAACAGAAACTCCGTGCGGAACAGGAGTTTCTGTTTCCTGTAACCGGCCGGACTGACAGGAAGTGCACACTCAGTGTGCACCCTCCTATCACTCCGGCCGGCTGGCCGGCCACCGCGGACCGGAGTGCAGCTCGGCCACGCTACAGGGGAGGGGAGGGGAGAAGCTGCAGCCGCCTGAGGCTCTTAACAGAGCGCTCAGGCGGCTGCAGTATTTAAAGGGATTTAGGGCGGCCTGGGGGGCAATTGCCTCCCTGCCCCCCGGCCCAGCCCGCCCCTGTTCCTATATAAACACTAACTTTTCAGAAAAATGTTTACATGGTTGCCTAGTAACACCTATAGTGGCACTCACTCAGACAACCACTAGAAGTGCTTCCTAGTCTAGTGTTGCACAGCGTGTATTACTGGTGTACAGCATCTCCACACTCTGCATGGAGATGCCTGATGTTCCCCATAGAGATGCATTGATTCAATTCATCTCTATGTGGAGATGCTGATTGGCCAGCGCCAAAAAAGAATTCTTCAAATTAGCTATGGTCCCAGCTTAGTCACTTTCGCTATTCAAAGTCTAATTTTATATTTAATCAATAACCCTAATTGTACTGGAGTAGAATCTGAGCTTGGAAATTGAGGTTTAGCTAGTCAAGTTGTGACTACAGCATATTTAACCTCTTAAGGGTTAAAAAAAAAATGTAGATCAGCTATTTATGTCTAAATGTTGCACCAAGAGAGTACAGCATTGAGGTCTATGGAGGATCCTTCCATAAATATTGCCAATTCCCTGAGACAGCTGGTGTAATTTACACTTCTAGACTCCGGTAGCTCCATGCAGTGTCTATAAGTGTCAGGCAAAGGAAATATACAGAGACAAATTAGTCCTTACTATGCCTCTATATATCTTTTGAATGGGTTGGAATTTCAGTGAAATTCTAGCAGAGTCAAAATGAGTATTTCATAAATATTCTATCTTTAACCCCTTAAGACCGCAGGGCGTTCTATGCTGTCCTTAAGGAAGCGGCTCTAAAAGCCGCAGGGTAGCACAGAACGTCCCCGCGATCTTATGTACATACCCGGTCGCCGGCGATCACGGTATGGAGACTCACCTGGGAGCCCAGGGAGTCCCCCTCCTTCCTCTTTGGCCCCTCTGGGCCATGTGATCGCGAGGTCCTTGCGATCACATGGATGGCATAGCCGTCCAATGCATTGCCAGCAGAGGGAGTGCCTGTAATGACAGGTACTCCCCCTGCTATCTGAAATTTTTTTTTTTTTTTAAAACAGTGTAAAATTAAATAATATATACTTAGATCATATATATATTTAATATATACATGATCTAAGTATATATATATACACATATACACACATACACATAAATACACATACACTGTCTAAGTGTATTTTAATATTAATATATATAATTATATATATATATATATATTCATATCAAAGTACACGTACAATCATATTGACTAAATATATATATATAATTATCATTATATATATATTTATATATAATATAAAATAAACAAATATGTAAATACGTTAAAAAATTAAAAAATAATAAATAATATATATATATATGTGTAATTTCGTTCTAACTGTATTTTAAAATTAATATATATATATATATATATATATATATATATTGATATCACAATACATGTAGAACGAAATAATATGTATATCTATATACATAAGTATATACATATATATCACTATATATTTACCTATATATAAATAAAAATAATTTTAAAAATTATATACACATATATATAGGCCAAAAGTTCAGGGAATTTTATTTGCTAGCACTATATTTAACCCTGTAACTTTCCAAGACACCATAAAACCTGTACATGGGGGGTACTGTTTTACTCGGAAGACTTCGCTGAACACAAATATTATTGTTTCAAAACAGTAAAATGTATTACACCGACGATATCGTCAGTGAAAGTGAAATGTTTTGCATTTTTCACACACAAATGACACTTACACTGACAATATAATTATTGTGATACGTTTTACTGTTTTGAAACACTAATATTTGTGTTCAGTGAAGTCTCCCGAGTATAACAGTACCCCTCATGTAAAAGTTTTATGGTGTTTTCAAAAGTTACAGAGTCAAATATAAGGCTTGCGTTTCAGTTTTTTCACAATGAAATTCGCCAGGTTGGTTATGTTGGCTTTGAGACCGTACGGTAGCCCATGATGGCATACCATTTGCAAAAGTAGACAACCCAAGGTATTGCAAATGGGGTATGTTCAGTCTTTTTTAGTAGCCACTTAGTCAGAAACACTGGCCAAAATTGGCGTTCAAATTAATTTTTTGCATTTTCAAATACTAACACTAACCTTGGCCGGTGTTTGTGACCAAGTGACTATTAAAAAAGACTGGACATACCCCATTTGCAATACCTTGGGTTGTCTACTTTTGCAAATGGTATGCCATCATGGGGGTAATTCTCATTCCTGGGCTACCATAAGGCAACGTAACCAATCTGGCGAATTTCAATGTGAAAAAACTGAAAAATGTAACACGCTATATTTGACCCTGTAACTTCCCAAAATACCATAAAACCTGTACATAGGGAGTACTGTTTTACACGTGAAACATGGCTGAATACAAATATGTCTTTTATTGCACTAAAAGCAAACAGTATTATGACATTCACAGTTAGAATGTCACGTAGAACTAAACATTTTTTTAAAATTTATTTTCCCCCATTTTTTATATTTTATTCATATTAAATTATGTTTCAAACCTAAATATTTGATGTTAAATGAAAGCCCTGTTTCCCCTGAATAAAATGATATATAATAAATGTGGGTGCACATAATATAAAAGAGGTGAATTACGCCTGAACAGACATATAGCGCAAATTCCAGTTTTTGTTTACGTTTTGATCACAACGTGTACATTTGGCTCAGTCCTTAAGGGGTTAATAAATACTAATTTTTCAGTGGTGGTGGTGACAGTGCCTTTTTTCAGTGGTGGTGGTGACACTTTAACTCATTATGAACTCCCAGCTGCTGAAATTTCCCATTCACAAGACCTACAGTTCAGTTTTCACACTTCCTACCCAAGCACATTTTATATTGCAACGTATTTCTATTTATTAACCATCTCTATAGATCACTAGAAAACAATAACATTCTAATGGAACGTCTGAAAATCTGCGCATCTAACTCTGCGTCTATCCGGAACACATCCGAAAGAACTTCTTCCTAGGGACTCGCACACGAAGAGCATCAGGGGTGATGTAGTTTTTCAGACGCGTTTTGTTTTAGGAACAAGGCACAACGGGACTACATTTCCCATGAGCACAGCGTAACGTTTTGCTACCCAACCGGAATGTGCTATATGAAATTGTTTAGTTACAATCATTCAAATATTACTAGTAAGGGGTAGGTGGAATCATTTATTACAGAGCTAAACACGTGAAATACAGAAAATGGCATGTAGTGTTTAAAATAATATTGCAAAAAAATAAATGAACTTCACTTTAAAGACATAAAAAATATTACATATTACCACTTTAATTAATTTTTTTTTTATAATGGACTATGTGTCATGCTTGTGTTCGGTTATGTCAGGGATGGGTAACAAGCACTAAGTTATGGATGAATTAAAACATAAATGATGCATACCTGATATTGTCCGTTTATACAACTTTTAGGTTGCATAATAGTGATCTCCTTTATATACAATGCTGTGTAGGTTCTCATAACATCTCTGTGTGTTTACATTAATATGTGGCAAGCCTTTAACATTCGAATCTTGTGGAACACACATGGTTAAAGTATGCAGTCATTTTACAGCAACAATAATGTTTGCATGGAAATAATGCATTCTCATGGCAACAAAATGCAACATTGTCCCTTTAAATACACAGATGTGGTTTTATGTAAATGCTTGGATTAACTTTGTATTTCTCTTCCACAGATCTGCAGTTGGATAGATGAGAGCCACACTCTCTACATCACATGGAGGTACAGAACATTTTGAGTACACAAGAAAGATTTAGAAACACAGTGCAGATGTACTTATCATTATTTGGATGCCTCATGTACATGGGCTGAAAATACAAGTGAGTGGAGATATGAATTCACATGAAAGAACACCTCTAAACAAGGGTTGTACCAGAGTCTCCTTAAGGACAAGCATTGTGAAAAATATATGTTCCCAAATCTGTCGGAGGTCACAGGGTTCCTTCCCACACAGTGGATGTGACATCAGCAGGATTAATCTGAGCATTTTAAGCAAGCTTGTGTGTGAGGTAATGTTACTAAGTTATTCAAATTGTGTGTAATATCATCATAACCTATACTAGCCAGTCTTGAACATAATACTGAAAATATTCACAAAGTCTATCTAAGTCTATACATTTCAAAAACAGTTTTTAGGTTTCATCAACGACTTAAACTACTGAAATTCATCATTCCTGAACAAATGTAGGTGCATGAATAAGGATTTTAAATGTCAGGCCATGAATATTTCATACAAATATGCCTGTAAAGGTAATACATCCCTTACGCCTCATTAAAACATACAGGACTATTCAGTAAAGTGTGAATTGTTTGAAATTCAAAACAGCGGAATTGTAAAAATTCTTCCAAGTCAGTGGTGTTTTACATTTTACTATATTGGCCATAACATTTTAAATTTGTTTTAAATTCACACTTTAGAGACTAATTCATTTTTTTTTCTTGCTGAAAGATTAACAAGAAAAAAATTCTTATTTTTCAATTGTTACTGTTTATGTCGTTTAAACTTCAATGCTTTTTCTCCCCTTCCCTTCCTCTCCCCCTCCTCTCCCCCCAAAAAGTCAGCAGAAATGTATTAAGTATTTCGTAAAGGTACAAGTTTTACAAAATACTTACATTATGTTGGAATCTCTTTGTAATTACAACGCAGTCAAAATATCGGATAGGAACTATTTTGTCTTTTTTTAAAGTCTGAGATTGACAAAACTTGACAACAGGCAGAGCTTCTATAGCAGCAGGTTTCGTCAGTTTTCCAAGCAACCACTAGCAATGGACTTTGGGATTAGGCTGCTTGTTGTAGACCAGGAGACTTAGTCTATGGAGGATCCCATGATATAGTGGGATCCTACGTAGACATCAGTGTTGTACTCTCGTGGCTCCTGCCAAATAAAGCTGCAGGAGCTAAAGACAGAAGGCAGTGACACCGGTGGGGGACAGCTTCAGGTAAGACTATCTACCTTCCCCTGCACCCCAAGTGGGGATGTCACTTTAGGAGTCCTTGCAAAAGACCCCTAAAGGTGGCAGAGCCTCTTCAAATTTTTTTACTTTTGCCAGCAGGCACAGGTAATACACACTTCCTGCTTTTTTGCCCGGATTTATTTACTTTTCCCATGATTTCCCTTTTTCTGCAAGTTACGTCGATTCGGAAAGATGAGGTCATTTTGACTTTAAAGGGACGCTCCAGTCAAATAGTATTTCAGCTGGCTGAAGTTCTTTATTTGTTGGAGTTAGTAATTTTTTGACAGTTTATAAAAGGGCAGATTTGACCAGAAAACTGCATTATTATAATTGTGGGGGCAGTATCACCTCCTTGGCTGTCTAAGTGAGGTATTTTATTCCACTTCCATTAGCTCCACAGAGCTAATGAAAGTGGCAGGTGCTCAGATCTAGATATCGCCTTGCTTCTCGCCCCCTTATTCTCAATACACTATAATACAGCTCATTGAGTAGCATTGGAAATACACAATATCGGGCACGCAAGCTCACAGCGCCAGCCAAGTGGCTTCCCAATTTCCAGGGAAAGTAGGAGGGTGGCTTGCTAATGGTGCAGGCTGCAAGTCTGCCACTTTTGTAAGCTGTTAATTCATCTACCCCCCAAAGAAAAAGAAAAATGCTGAAAAAATAAATAAATGCATGTTTTGTTTGAGGTTCTATTAACTAAGTAGTATGGAGTTGTTCCTTTCATTGGAACTTACCTCTAGAGCTAGTTCAGAAGATTGCTCAGTTTGTTTGACCTATATTAGTTAACATTAATTTCACTGAGAATCCTTTCTGAAGTTTTATTAGTTTGTATGCAAGGGATAAAACTATCAAAAGTTCAATAGGAATTAATCCCAGGAGTTTGTTTAGGAGGTTTCCTTTTGAGATAATAGAGTTGTGGAAACATACTTTGACTTTCATTAAATGTCCAGGCTGTGTCTTTTATTCTTTAGCTGGTGACGTAAGAGTGAAATTCTACTAATCTAAAATGATAAATTAGAGACGGTAATTTGCTACGTTCAAAAATACTACTTTGACCTATCTGTTTTACTTTAATTAACAGTATGATAAATGTTCATAGAGCATTGAATCTTCTTTTTTGACAAGTGCCCAAATTATGCATGAACATAAGGCTTGGTGACTCATTCTTCAGATTTAAAATTACATTTGTTACCCATTCTACAAGTGTAATATTGTTAACAGTTAGATATATTTTTTTTTAAAAAAAGGGGACTTGTCTTACCAGGGTCATCACTGGATTAAAGGCAGTCCTGCCGAATGGCACCTTGTCAAGCTTGAGGGCCCATAAGAGCAATTTAAAGGGGGACTTTGGGCAACCTAACCACTACAGCTTGCTGCAGTGGTTTATTGACCTTGAATCTCCTAACGCCATCACCCCCAGCATTCTCATCCAATGTCGTTAAGGTTGAATGAAACTGACATGTACAAGTGTTATATCTGTCTTATCTATGTGGATGAGATGGGACAGTCCCTAGATGTCAGGGAGAGCATCAATTTATGGCAATCCATTCCTAAATGGTTTGATATGAAACAGAGGGGATTGAAGTGGCTAAATTGCTACTAGTGGTTCATTAACAAAATGCAGTACAGTTGGTGAAGGAATTATTCCCCCCCTCCCTCCCCAACCGGATCAGACTGAAGATCTTCCTTCCAGTTGTCACCTTACCTTCCTCTGGCACTTACAAGTAGCAATGCTGGGAGGATGTGATGTCCTATCCCTTGCTCCCGACGCACAAGGTGCTGCGCTGGAATGCGTTGACAACCTCTACCAGTCGTTTACTCCCCAGGAGACCCCAGGAAAGTCACCCTCCAGCAAGAAAAAAAAGATTGGCTAAAAACATGTTTTATTTTAAAGCGTGTGTATCTGACAATTTGTTTTTGTGTGTGTGAGATGCAATAACATGTGCATTTATGCTTGGTAATACATTGGAGTATTTGCATATCCCACAACATTGGCTTCCTGAGAAATTGGATGACGGAGGGAGAGGATTACAAGGTGGTGGGTCAGTGATGCAATTGTGTCACTGGCTCTGCCCAAAGGGACAGGCCTGTCAGAAAGGGGGCATGTCCACCAAAATTACTGGTAGCTCAGCCTGGCATTATTCATGCCAGGCTGCCTGCCAGTAATGCTGGCCAGCCCACTGTGGGCAGGACTGGCAGGGAGCTCTATTTCAGTGCTCTCTCTTCAAGGTCCTAATTCCTTGAGTGCAGCGTGAGCGTATCTAAAGATGACCTTGTGTTACATTTTTGCGGGACGGTTTGCTAGTTTTAAGAAAAGCAGGGCATCGAAGAACAAAGACATGATGGCTTGCCTAAATCAGGACCTGTTAGGTGGCATGTAGTCATATGTGTGTCCTTGTGAGTATGTATCTGTGTGAGTTTATGTGTACAAATGTCTGGGAGAGAATGCCGAGTGGAGCCGAGCCAGTGTAAATTTCTGATGGCAGCCCTGCTTCCTATAGCCAAAACATGTCTCCACTGCAAGTAAACAAATTATTGTGAGCATTAGGGGATTATAAAGATGATATGCACGTTTTAACCACTGCATATCCTGTGAAATAGTATGTAAAACCAAAATAGGTACTGACCTAGGGTTCAAGAAACGCTGACAGAGCATATACAGTAATGACATTTCCACACACCTATGATGAGTAAGCTTACTGCCGGCACATACACATAAACATTTTTTTCCCTAGAGAAATCTGTGGCTAGCCTGCATGTTTTTAGATAGAATGATTTATTTGCAAGTCTAAAAACCACTGGAATTAGTCTTGCTGGAGTAAATGATGTCCCTACTGGCAAAAACCTTGTACTGAAAACCATTAAAATACCAGTCTTTTAATTGCTTCAAATTAAATCCCTTCATAGAAGTAGATAAAATACAGGATATGGATCCAATTAATATCCAAAATGTCACTAATCACCAGTTTATTCATTTACTGCAGTCTTTTATCTCTTTGGCAGAATGCCATTTAACTCATTGGATACATTTCTTTCCGTCTCTTCACTGGCAGTCAGTCAGTTAATGCTGAATTCTTGAGTCATGCCTAGGGAGTCTGCCGAAAGATACCTTAATAGTCTATGAAATGAAAATTCTAGGGCAGGGAGGGGATTTGTGGAATTGCCTCGCTTACTAAGCAAATAATGTGTTAAACATTAACTAATAGCATATTTTTATGTATTTTTGTAGACTTAACAAGCTGTTTAAATTGATAAACAGGTATCTAAAAAGTCTGCTTATTGTGTGTGTATATATATATAGATATGATTAAACACATGTAGATTTTATTTATTAAACTGGTAAATGCAGATTACTGACAAGTGAATTACAGATTATAATTTTTTTTTAACCACCATAGCTAATTTTTGCCTTATATTTACAATTTATTTTTTGTTTCTTCAGTTGCCAGTAGTATTAGTAAATACGCCCGTTTGTGTGGGCTTAGTAAATACCAAATACATTTTTTTTATTCTTTATTTTCCGTACAATATGATCTACGGCGGTCATAACAGATTAAGGATATGGAATAGTCTAACAAATAGTAAAGACATTCATATACTGAAGGCCTTGGAAGTCACACATTTGTCTGGCTGGCTGTGCAGAGCTCCATTTTAGAGTCTAATTTTGATGAAGCATGAAAGCCTAAAATGGTGGCAGTGTGTAGCATATTTAGCTGTTCCTGATACTTTTCTCTGTTCTGTCAGATTAAAATATAAACCCGTTTAGGTGGTACTATTTAGTTTGTGAAGAGAGAGCATTTATCCTCCTGTTACAATAAGTTACAGGTTTTGTATGAACTCTGCAGTGTTAGATTAGTACAGCTGAATAAACATTTTCTTTTTCTATTTTTTTTTTCTTTCCCTCAGAAAAACTCCTTATTTCATAATGTTTGGACCAAGCATTCCAAATCTGCCATTAATTATGCAAAGGGAAGGATTTATTTTGACAATTTCCGTTGTTGCTATAACAGGTAATGTATTGCTGATATCAATTTGTGATGTTTGTGGGTACAGCAGGGATACAAAATCTGTTGTATTGTTAAAATATAGTTCTGATAATGAGTGTGTGCAGTTTTATATTATTAGGATCTGTTGAGTATTCTGTTTAGAACACTACTGCAATATAAATAGTAGAAGTATTTGTTCAGTTTAAAGCAACACAAAAGGGTTAGGAACATATGTTCCTAACAATATAGTGACCTAGTTACCATTTAGGTGACTGTATGCAGCGCTTACTTTGAGCATTTGTACTGGGAATGGGGATATGTGAAAGTAATATACTGGGAGATTGGGATGTGAGAGAATGTACTGGGAGATGCGGATGTGAGGGAATGTACTGGGAGATGGGGAATGAGAATGTACTGGGAGATGGGGATGTGAGGGAATGTACAGAGAGATGGGGATATGAGGGAATGTACTGGAAGATGGGGATGTGAGGGAATGTACTGGGAGATGGGGATGTATGAGAAATGTACTGGGAGATGGGGATGTGAGGGAATGTACAGAGAGATGGGGATATGAGGGAATGTACTGGAAGATGGGGATGTGAGGGAATGTACTGGGAGATGGGGATGTATGAGAATGTACTGGGAGATGGGGGATGTGAGGAAGTGTGCTAGAGGGATTAGTTAAAAACGAATGTACTGGGAGATAGGGATGTGAGGGAATGTACTGAAAGATGGGAGTGTGAGGGAATGTACTGGGAGATGGGAATGTACTGAGAGATCTCACCCAGCTACATTTCCCAACTTAATATTGACCTAGATCCATTGCTTTAATTTATCTCCCTCTCCCCCACATCCCTGAGTAAGTTGGGGAATATGGCTGGAAGAGATAACTAGTTCTGCGATGAGATGTATTGGGCAAACGTCATTCAGATAATGAGGGCCAATGGCACAGAATATTAATTTGAGGAAGCAGAAAAAACCTTTAATGAAAGATCTATAGTTCAATGATGTTAAATTTTTAGTTTTATTTTAACTATAGTCTGTGCAATACATGCTGAAAAATAGGAGGTATATTATATTTAATAAAATATGAATAAAACATTTTGTGCATGCCTTTATTACTCGGTGTTGTATTTAATTAACAATGACATATAAATTATTCTTAGGTTTTAAAGTAACAAACTCCCCTGTATATTTGTCTCATTTTATAATTGTATTCTTTTTTTAAATAGCCTCGCTGCAAAACCACAGCAGGTCTATAAAATGCCCGCGTGTCCAAAGGTAGAAAAAATCGAAGATGCTTTGTTATGTGAAAGTCCAGTGGTAAGTATTAAAAAGCTCATTATTTTGTTAACATTAGAGATGCATTCTATTCTGTTTAAATGACAAACATAAATGAGATTCCAAGTTGTTTTTCCTCCTCCGTTCTTACCTATTTTACTGCCACCACAAGACTTCAAATACCATAACCACTACAGTGGGCTTAAGTGGTTATGGTGCCAAGAGTGCCCTGGTGTTGTCAACATGCCTAGATTCTGCCGAGTGTCACCTCACCTGCAGTCAGAAGCTCCACAACCTTGCGGCACTGCACAGTCAGGCATAGCTCTGTGGAGCTAACTGGAGCTTCTGGTAACTGGTGAAGTGGTGACAGACCACCTACCTTGACTATGGTTTGATTACTTAGGGAGGTTGCCAAGGCACTCCTAGCCCTAAAACCACTAAAAGAGCATATAGTGGTTATGGTGCTTGGAGTTTTTCATAAAGAGGCATTATACTTTACAGCACTGGACAACGAACAAAACATAGTGACAAACATGTAGACATAGAGTGACACATTGCGTGAAATATGACTTGAATGGGAATTGTCACTTATATGGAAATTGTATTTACCTAGAACTTGCGTTGTTCTTTTTTTTCATGTTTATCAAACATGTTATTTTCTTTTAATGCATATGAAAGATTTAGCAACGAACATCACAATCCTCTTCAGTCCTGGCACATCCAAAGCACACATTGCCTTGAGGACACATGGCATTGAGGAGAAAGAATATTTTTTGTTTGTCTGCCTGCAATGCTGTAGCCAGTTACTTTTTGTATTCCAGGGAGAAAGTTTCACTCAACCTTCTGAATATACTCCTTCCTTGATTGCTGTCACAGGCCACAACTGGCTGCTACGGATATCAGCAAATACTGGAGATGTCATCGATAAGGTCTACCTCGGTTCCTATAGAAAATTCAGGTAAAAAAGCATTGTTTTTGGATGGTGATACATAGTTTGCTTGCTGCCCAAGCTAGTTGTCACATATATTTAGAAAGACATTTCAGTGCCTGTACTATAGATAAACTAAAACACGAGGACTGCTGTTGATTGTGTGTGCTGGAAGTTGAAAGAACAGAAAGAATGACCACTAACATGGAGAGGCTGTAAGTCAGGAATGGACAAAACATGGATTAAAACACTCTCAACAACTGCTGGATATTTCTCTTTTTTGCACCCCTGCAGAAAACAAGCAACTGCATATCCAATTTATATTGAGTAGTTAAGTGCTGTTGATAGGCTGTTAGCATATATTATTATTATTATTATTATTATTGCCATTTATATAGCGCCAACAGATTCAGTAGCGCTTTACAATATTATAAGAGGGGGGGATTTGGCTATAAATAGGACAATTACAAGAAAACTTACAGGAACGATAGGTTGAAGAGGACCCTGCTCAAACGAGCTTACAGTCTATAGGATACTATTGTCAATGTGAATACCCTGCTACAGTTTAAATACTTTTTGACCTACCTTTGCTATTATTAGATAAGTAAAAATGGGTCCGTAACCGGGCATCTAAGACTGTGCCCTCATGATGTTTCTGAACTACAACTCTCATAGTTCTCTGGCTATCTATTCAAAGAGTTCTGAGAGTTGAAGGCCATTGACATTTGGAGGTCCGGAGACTGAGATCCCTGCCTTAAACACTCATGTTTTGCGATCACACTCGCAATCACAGTCCTTCCGATGACAAGTGAGTGACACTTTAATGGCCCCGAAAACCTGTCAAATTAAATTCCTCAAAGAACTTGAATACACGTTTCTAACAAATAGCCAGTAACCAAAATTATTCTTAAGTTTTTGCACATGAGCACCAAACACGTCTCTTGACTTGATGATGTGTACAAGCAACTTTCCACATTAACCAGCCACACAAATTAAAGAGCAAATCGGTACTGTAGCTAAAATACAATATAAAATTAAAAACATAACAATTATGCTTGCAAAATATCTGAATTGTCAGTTTGAACACTTTAAAGAAATACACACACTGCCAAGCCTCTATGGGAAGTACTGGGTTAATTGATCTGCTCAACCTTTGAAAAGAGCAGGCCATGTAAGAATGATACCATACATCATCAAGACCCCAACAACAGTGAAGACGGTGGACCACTATGATAAGCCGGAGAGTTTTGCTTGATGGATATAAAGATATATGAGAGGTATTGTTTAAAACTTGCTAGTGAATTGTGTAATCTGCTTAAGGGTCACGTGAACCCATGGTCTTAGGCTAAAAGGGCAGTACTCGGGCTGGTTCATTTGTTTAAGATGCCTACATTTTTGCCTGTTTGTCATTTCCAAAGGAACACCAGCTGTTCAGAAAAGCTGACAATCTTTGTAACTGCCATGCAGACCAGCTGCCATAGGCGCGCACACAGGGTGTGCCGGGTGTGCCTGGGCACACCCTTATCCCCACGGCACACCTATGGATTGAGACACTGGAAGATGAGATCTTAGGATCTCCCCTGTCGGCTCATGCAGAGCCGGTGCTATCCGAGCGCCGGTTCTGCTCTAAGCCTTCATGGGCCGGTGGGGAGATCAAATATCTACTTCACCGGCCCACTGGAGCATGCAGGGAGGCAGGAGAGGACCCAGGGAGCTCTAGCCAGCAGCTCCGCCGGGTTCCTCTCGTGGCTAGAGTTCACTCTCCACTGGACCACCGGGGATGGCAGCAGCAACAAGGATCCCCCCTCCCTACATAAGGTAAGAGGGGGGGGATATTAAGTAATCTGCCCCCACCTCCACCCCCACAATCATCCAAACATATAGCACACACAGACACTGCACCCACACACATACAACACCCTCACACACACAGCATGCACACACACACAGCACCTACACACACAGCACCTACACACGTAGCACCTACACACGCAGCACCCTCACACACACAGCACCCTCACACACAAAGCACCCTCACACACACAGCACCCACACACATACAGCACCCACACACACACAGCACCCAAACAGCACCCTCAAACACACAGCACCCTCACACACACAGTACACTAACAGCACCTTCACAAACACACACACAGCACACTCATACACAAACAGCACCCTCACAAACAGCACACTAACAGCACCCTCACAAACACACAACACCCACACTCAGCACACAAACAGCACCCTCACACACACAGCACCCTTACACACACAGCACACTAACAGGACCCTAACAAACACAAACACCCTCACACACACACAACACACAAACAGCACCCTCACACACACAGCACACTAACAGGACCCTAACAAACACACACACACACACACACACACACACAGCACCCTTACACCACCCTCACACTGCACACGCACACACACACAGCAGTGTATGTATGTGTGTGTGTATATATATATGTGTGTGTGTGTGCTTTAGGGTTCCCTAATGCAATAGGCTGTGCACGCCTATGCCAGCTGCTGGGGGTTCTCTCAACACCTGAATCCTGGCATAGTGTCAAAAGTGGCTCCTGCTAACTAGGGAGATTGCCCAATGTCCTGGGAGCCATTGATTGCACCCATGTGCCACTCAGGCCTCCCCAAGATCAAGAGCACTTATATAGATGTCATGAACCATTTTACTCACTCAATATTCAATTTGTTTCAATCTTCAAATGCCCATACAGCTAACGCGTTCTTTCCTGTAAGCATTCATGACTTGTATATCCTAAATAGCTTATCCATCTTTGAACAGGTTGAGGAGAGACAATTCCCACAAGGACAACAGTTGGGTGAATGCCTATATAAATGTAACCCCCATATGTAAGACCAACCTCATCATTGAGTCTGACCACATTTCTACCTAGTGTCATTGGTTTCTTCTCTATTTGGAACCTGTGGACTTGCTTACTGTGTTTCCCTGCTGCCACTTATATACATGAATGCCAGATGCCCTTTTCTGGAACATATGCGTGCTTTTTCTGCTGTTTGTGTTTTATCTTGTATATGTTAGATGTGTAGATGCAATCAGGATGACCTTTTTTGGATTAATTTTCTCTTTTCCCTCCATTAACACAACATGTAGGTTTAGCTCCAGACTACACACTCCTTTCAGTCAGAATCCAGATACAACAGGGAAGATGTACAAACACAGCATGCGGATCATGTTTGAGTGTACCTTTGGTGTACTCAAATCTTGTTTCCGTTGTCTACGTAACCCAGATGGTGTTCTTCTGTACTCCTCCCAAAAGGCCATCAACATGATAATTGCATGCTGTTTGCACAATCCAGATCATAGGTACTTTTTGAAGATTTCCCAAGGTCTAGAAATAAATAACATAGGTTGCTGAGCAGTGTGTGCAATGTTTGAGGGTTCGAATGACATTAAGTGGTTTGAGAAGGCATTGTGTATCCTACTGATTCTTCAACACATCCAGGATTGTGGTGAGAAGGGCTTGGAGGTGTGAATAGGTGAAAGACACAAGTCTTACATACATACATTTCTTTGAGACTTTCGAAGAGAGATGGAATCTCTTCACCATATAACTTTTCCACATTTACAGACAGTTGATCTTGTTTGTAACTTTTGAAGGAGTCAGGAATCTGTATCTACAACTGTTATGGAATAAACACTGTAGAGAACATGGCTTGGGGATTTTGCTCTATGGAAACATAAAAGGTAAGATTAATGACATACGTCAAACATATTTTACTTTAAACATTAATGTTTTCAAGAGAAAGCAACATTAACTAACCATTACTGGCTCTAGTGATTATGTTGCTGTCAGTGCCCCTTTAATTGCTGCTTCACCGTGGGTGGAAATAGAGTTACGACATAAATTACATGATATGAGCTGTGACTTGATCGTGGGTGTTTTTGCTCAACTTACCAGTTGTAATGGTTGCTGTACTAATGGTGTCTTTGCCACATGCCAGACAGCCTTCTCCACCTTGGATATGCTCCATCTGATCTGTCTTTGCCCACTCATTAAAATGCCACCAATCTTCTTAGCTAACTTGAAGAAAGCCTGTTGTGTAAAAAAACAAATAAATAATGTAATTTCTTCCTTACAATCATGGTTCTTAATTTTCACGCACTGAATAGTATGCTTGAGTTGGCTAACACTGCAAACGTTGTCTTTGGCCTTTGACTAAACAGATATTTTTTGGAGGCACATATTTTTGCCCCTGAAGGAGCAAGCAAAACCTTAAAGGTTTTTCAATACTGCATCAGTCAGAGCTACATTTTCCTCATGTGTGAATCTTTGTCCTCCTAACTGCTCTTGTATTTTAGAGATTCAAATATACTGGAAACACAATGATTTGAATATTCAGAATTCTGATCAGACAGGGATTAGACATGTGTGGCCTTGTCACTTCTGGTCATTGGTTAGTGTGCATCTAAGATGGCTTCCTTTGGGAGCTAGCTATATAGCACGCTCTGTGACTCTACTTGATGCCATCTTCTTGGATTGGCTCTCCGTAACATTCAACCTGTGATGTAATCGTAAAATCCATTAAAGATGCCAGTTATTTTTCTCTTTAGCCAAGCGATATTAGGGTTAAGGACTTGTTTTAAGTCGATAAGGTTTCCTCACCTCAACAACATTACTTGATTTTAACATTGTTTATGAAATTTAGATTTCATACTGTTGTGCAACACTGGCCGAATATCAGAAAACATTGCCGGTCAGTTACAAAGCTGGGTTTTAATGTAGAAAAATAGGAGAACAGTGAAGAAGAGTGCTGGAGAATGGAGAATTGAAGTGAGGCTGGTGTCTTTTAGCAAGAAACTTGTGGTTCTGATTGTTTCGTCATTTAGGTTATACAATCCAGCTCAGTGTATGTTTTTGGAATGAGACTTCCTCTAAAGTGTCCAATTGTAGCAAGAGAGAGATAATAGAGCTGCTACATTTAACTGGTTTCCAACATGCCTCTACATATAAAGACTTTTCTCTTTCTAAACTTATGTAGTACTGTTTCACAAATGGCATACAAGAAAGCCCAAGCACACACTAGATGAACCTAATGCCAAAATGTTTAAAGATGTGCAAGCACTCAAGATATTCAGGCAAATATTTATTGTAGGATTGTATAATTGCAAGTCTTGCTGATTTTTGTGTGACCAAAGACTTCATATGCATGGGTTTCAGTAGACTGCGAGACTTGTTAGCAGTACTAACTGAGTACTCTCGCCACATGCAGACAAACCATTTGTTAAATTAAACTTCCAATGATATATATTCATTGTGGGGTCTCCTTTCATGTACAGGGCAGACAAGCAAGACTTCTGTTTTTATTTTTTTATTATATTGTCATGTGTTAGTACATTGCAGCATGAGAGCATTTAAAATCCCAGTACCTTAAACACCATTATGTTCATATGTCCATAACATGTGAAGGACTTAGCTACAGTAAGTAACCTAGGACAGTGGTAGGCGACCTTCGGCACTCCACGTGTTTTCGTCTACATCTCCTTTAATGCTCTTACATCCATAATGCTGGCAAAGCCTCAGGGGACATGTAGTCCACAACATCTAGAGTGTCGGAGGTTGCCTACTGCTGACCTAGGAGAAATCCACATACAGGCAACCATCCCCCACCAGAGATTGATCCTCAAGATTCTGATGGCTATTTTGCCAGATCTTTTTATGACTTCATTATTTTTATAATAAAAACGAATGGAGTTGCCTAAAATAGTTCCTTATTTATATTATGCTTAGAAAAGTAAAGACAAATGTATATTGCTTTTTTTTTTTAATTTCATTTTAATCAAAATAACCATTGCATATGTATTTTTGGAATTTTTGAAATTAAAGAGCTTTTGGTCTGTTTGTCATTGACCCAAACAGGTACATTACTTGGGATGTTCCCCAGGAGACGTTTGTATTGAAATCTCTTCACAAGAAAACTGTCGTAGAACCTCAAGAGGTACGTCCAACAGAAAGACGTGTAACAAAGGAACACATCGTTACTGTAAACCAGTGCTGTACAGTTTACCAGGCCCCTAGATTAACATTAACATTAATCAATAAGAATCAGAGATTTTAAAACTCAGGTAGATTGAGGTTCCATAGAAAAATCTATATTAGTTATCCGTTTTGTATTATTACTCATTCTTGTATGTTTAAAGGACCACCGGGCTCTGGGGAGAGGAAAGGGGTAAAAACTTACCTTTTCCAGCGCTGGGCGGGGAGCTCTCCTCCTCCGTTCCTCTCATTCGGCTGAATGCGCACGAATGCTTTCCTATGGACGCTTGCGTGCTCTTACTGTGATTTTCACAGTGAGAAACACGCAAGCACCTCTAGCGGCTGTCAATGAGACAGCCACTAGAGGAATTGGAGGAAGGATTAACCCATTTGTAAACATAGCAGTTTCTCTGAAACTGCTATGATTATAAAAAAAAATGGGTTAATCCTAGCTGGACCTGGCACCCAGACCACTTCAATAAGCTGAAGTGGTCTGGGTGCCTAGAGTGGTCCTTTAAGCAAACCCTCGCATTAAAGCTATGGAAAACATGAAAAATATATCTAGTTCTAAATAAATAGTTTTCCTTAATTGACTTTGTGTGTGTGTAATTGTCTCTGTAAAATTCCTAGAAATGGAAAATGACAGAGTAAAGTCCTTGATGGAATGTGGTAGAACAATAAATGTTTGGTATGCTAAATGACTGCCGCACGTGTTTCATTGACATTAATAGTCATCTGACCATTGGACTTCAATCACATGTTCCCTCTCTTGCACTTTGGACTGTGTCTCCTTACTGAGCAACTGCTCCTACTTTTCGTGTAGAATGTCATGAAATTATATCCGTGTTGAAAAAAGGAATGGCACAGCTGCCCAATTAAGATTCATTCCATGCTGCAGCTTTTAGTATTGCATTTTGCTCTTCCTACTATCTTATTCTTTTGAAGACTATTCAAATTATTTCCTGACCTTTGCTGTCACTTGCTAATCTAAGGTGCATTTTGTTGCCTGGGCTTCCCCCTTACTATCAAAACTAAAACTGTTAAAAGAACACCCCAATTAATTTAAAAAAAAAAAACTATTTAGTTGGTATACCCCCTCCCCCCCCAGAAAGCATGCATGTATTTTTTTCTAAGATGCAATTAAATCAAATAATAAAAATATATGTTAGAATGGAATATTATCACAATCTTTTCTTTTTTTTTTTATTCTTTTTTTTTGTGGGTTTGCAAGTATTCAATTCGTTTTACAACATGTGCGTAAAGGATAACATGTATAAAATAAATTTCAGGTAATCAACATATAACATATATAGTTGCACAGGTGCTATGCCACCCGATTTTTATAAGGTAATCTCTGCTTTACTCCCTCGTGCTAGAAACAGTGAATACGTGCAGTGTCTAGGAGGGGGCTAGTGAATAGCGTTATGCACCCTGCTCAGAGATGTTAGGGCTACGGACTTAGCCGAGGCACGTGTATGGGAGGTGGGGTGAGCGCGGGTATTTCGGCCGTTGGCCTTTCAATGGTTTGGTGTGAGCCCCAGCGTATCAGACAGTGTGTGTGGTATGTCCTCGCTCTTTTAGTAAGGAGCCTATGGGCAGAGGTGGGGGTCCCTGCACTGACTTGGGGGGAGGGGAGGTAGATCTGCTTAGCCAACATCACTGGTCATCTGCTTATGGAGCCAGTGTCATTAGTGTGTCTGGTACCCTGAGACATTTAGAAACTGAGAGCTTGAAATATGTAATAAAAATAACTAAACTTAAGAAGCCACATTGCCTGTAAAATGTGAGTGAAGTCCCGGCAAGTGTAGCTTATTTGCAGTGTCCCGTGTATAGTCCCGTATCAGGGCACCTGTGTGACAGATTGAGGGTGCACTTGCGTTTACGATCACTTTTCTAATGTTAGGGAGTCTGTTGCCCTCGGCATTGCTTCTCTGGGTACAAACGGAATTGTTTCGTTGATGTTCCATGCTGGGCTGGATTCTGTTGTTGCTGCCCTTTTTTTCTTTTTTTTTTTGTAAATTAACATTTTATTAAGTGTGACATGAATAAAAGGTAAAATTGGCAAATTGATAGATTGGTAGAACAAGGTTTGTGAGAAATACACATCCTGTGGAACAAGACATATATGAGCAAAAGTACCAGGATTCCCATAGCGGTAACGACATAAAAAGAAAGAATTGACATGATATAATAGCTAGTACCCACACAGTAAATGTTGGCATTAGAACAACAGATGCATTGCATTAACTGAAAGGAGCCATGCTTCAAATGAAAGGAACAGTAACAAGTGGAATACCGCTCAACACCACCATAAAATAGTGGCGTTAAATTTGGTGTCGAAGATGTGCGGAGGAAGAAAATAAACGGGAGAGAGGAAACTAGAAAGGGACGCCAGGAAGAGAAACAGTGGAAGAGAATGCAAAAAATATCAAAAACATATTTTTTTACTTTCAGATAATTAAGGAAATTAATTATCATACATTATTGAATAAATTACGAATAGATTACACTTTCTCACTGGACATTTAAGACACAATGATATTCTGACCACAGTCAAGGCAAGTTTGAGTTTAGAACTATGAAATATGAATTAATAAAATCAATAAGTTGACTACCTCATAATAAAAGGTATGTAGTGATGCCATTCAATAATTATTTTTTTCTAATGTATCTTTTATTGAAGATTTTGACAAGAGATAGCAAGCACTCGACAGACATGCATGGTATTTAAGAATTATTTCAATACATTCGCAAGTTTTCATATAAAAAAAATAGAAATCTAAGAATTCACTGGTGAGATAATCTGTAGTTAATGTGCTGTTTGATCGGTACATTTCTATTCTGCAGTTGGTGAATCAAACTTTTAGAAATGTATCTCATTTATATTTAAATGAGGTGGAGAGGATTTGGAATGGTTCCTGGAGAAAGATCCTTAAATATATATGTAACAAAAAAATCTATAAAAAATCATGAAGACTAAAATGTGCATGGATCATTGTAAAGAACACATTATTATTATTATTATTAATAATAATATTATTATTATTATATAAGTTTGTTAAACATTCTCATGCACATCTAAGGGAGTGTCTGTTGTCTTTAAAATTCTGATTGGTTCTTCAGAATTAATCTCTGTTTTAAGCTGGTATAGATTCCACCACCACTAGGTGGTGCAAGTGACTCATGCCGTTTCCCTTGATTTGGATATATTAAAAAAATTAATTACGTGGCTAATGCAAAAATGGAGACAAAAATGACACTGACTGTTTACTTGGCACCCTTACACACTTCTTCACACACAAATTGTGCAAACAGTTAATAACCATTTTTCTCTGTTACAGAAAGTGCAAACACACAGAGTGACTTGATTTTGAAAACAATTTTTGAAGTCCAATGTTAACCTTGGTGTTAAAATATTTTAATTAAACATAATTTTCTTTCTTCTTACAGCAGATAGACAGCGGGGGGTCAGTTCTGATATACCTTGCAGTGTTCAGAGTTTTACCTTTTGCGTTAGTGGGAGTACTCGAAATCGATAAAAAAGTAAGTTCTGCACATGTTCTATATTATTGGATGCAGAATACATAGAGACATTCTGAATATGTTATTGTTTAATCTAAACACAGTTTATCCTGCTGTCTGCGTGTGTTTGTGTATACTGGGCCTCTGTGTTGTACATTTTACCCAAAACATTTTTTTAAACTAAATCGATGTGTTTTCATCTGGGATTAGATTGCAAGCTTGTTTGGGCTGCGCCCTCTTCACCTACTATTCCAATATGTTTCGTTAGTTCAAAAAGAAGAAAGGTTCGGGCACACTAGAGATCATAAGCAGGCACATTTATTAGGATAAAATGTACAAAGCAATGTTTCGACCCAACAGTTGGTATTTGTCATGCTGGCAAAGATCCAATGTTGGGTCAAATCACTGCTCTGTACATTTTGTCCCAGTAAATGTACCTGATAATGAGCTCTGGTGTGCCCCAACCTTTTCTCTTTTTGGACTGTCTAATATACCGGGGTAGTGCTGGCCCCTAGTTCGGTTTGGCAACCAGCTTATAGCTTAGTTGGAGGAGTGCAGTTCCTGTGTATCTACGAATGGTTCATGTTTCGTCAGTGTTTGTTTTGTTTCCCTACTGCACAGCGCTGCAGAATGTGTTGGCACTATATACATTTTTTTGTAATAGTAGCTAAATAAAATAATCCATTACATTATAAAAGTGCTGTTGTTTTTTTATTATATTGAGTTTCACTACCTATTCGTGTTTTTTAGTTTTTTTAAGAATGAATTGTTCAAGAATGATCTATATAACATAAGTTCTATTGGTTTTTGAGAGTATATACAATATAACACAGATTGTGGGCATTTTGAAAAAAAAAAAAAAAGAAAACGCTCCACTTTTTAATTCTTTATGGTTTACGTTTGTGTGGTTTTTGGATTGGTTACACAGTGTGGTAACAGCATGCATTGATCACAATTATTTTTATATTATTGCATAGTGCTGAAGCACAGTTGCACAATTTTAGTTTTCACTTCAAATCAAGTCATTACAGCATTAGGATTATTGACTAAAGTAAGAATTCAAAGTGATTGTTAGACCAGGTAGCCAAACTGGGAACATAACTGACTTACTGAATTTGAAATTCACTCTGGATTCACTTTGCATTCTCTTTAGTGAATAACTCTGCTTGGATTTTGTAGGATTAATTGGAACCACTTATAAAGTATGCTGTTTTCTCAATGTGTGGTAATGAAAGTACCACTCCAGGCACCATAACAACTTAATTGCAAAAAGTTGTTATGGTACGAGGAAGTTCCGGGCACTGGCTCACCTGAAGGGACTGAAATCAAACTAGTTAAGCTGGCGCTCGAACATTCTGCCCCTGCACTTCCACTCGATGTCCAAGGCTTCAATCAGGAAGCCTCAGAGTGGACCCCACTGATTGGTTGAGAGTGTCTGCTGCTGTTCTCAGCTTATTGAAATAAAGAGAGTGAAAAACAAATGTATCTTTTTCACTCTCTTTTCTAAATGGGGAGCTGCCGATAGGCTGAGAGGAGCATCAGTTGACATTATCAGCCAATCGGCGGCACATGTTCCAAGACTTCCTGATTGAAACCTTGAACATTTAGGGGAAGTATGGGGGCAGAATGATCAAGCACCGGCTTGAATACTTTTTTGGTAAACAATTCTTTAGCAGTTTAGCTCCTTTCAGGAGGTGCCCACCGCCATGTGTTGCGACCCGGACCTCTTCATACTATGGCAATTTAATTGCAGTTAAGTTGTTATGGTGCCTGAAGTGGTCCTTTAACTTCCTCTTCAAGCAAAGCTTTGCTCATTCAAAGACCATAAGAGTGCCCATCCTCTTAGTACAGCACTATTAGCATATGGGTTTTCAGAAAGGGTTAGATTTCTAAATATGTATTCCTTCGTCTAAACATTAAATATAAAACAGAACATTAATGCCTCAAAGAAAAATTACATTACAACATTTTGGTCCGTGCAGGTGCAGAAACTCCATCATGGAATGTGGAACACTGCTGTTGCTAAATAAGTAGTACGTTCTAAGCCAACAAAAGGGTCCTTAAAGGGGAATTATCACTTACAAGTATTTTAATACTATGTTTACCTATTCCCTGTAAAAAACAGATATGCATTTATATAATGCATTATAAAATAGGGGATCATGGGGCGGAGTTTAGCCACTGAACGAGCATGTTGCACACTCGATGGGCTCTGGGCCAAATATTGATAAACAAGTGGATTTTGGCAATATTATTCAGAGGAAAACCCGCTCATGTACTCACCACTCATCATGGGCCGCAAAACAAAAAGCCGAGGCCAGACAAATATAAAATCAATATGAATATCGGAGATCTCCTCCGGTGGGCGCAGGGCGTGTATGGGCCCAAAATGGCCGACGACCTCAAGGATTTCACTGACTCCTTTAAGGACCTAGACGGAGATCCAGGCGGGATGCTGCTTCCACCACAGCTGCGTCTGATCTCAAACAAAGGGGGAGAACGAGCCGGTGACAGCAGCGATGCTCAGGGAGATGCTGGGCAACCTGCAGCAAACCTTACAGGCAGACACAGCCTTGCTGTGCAGGGAACTCGTGAGCCGCCTGTGGGAAGGGGAGAACACCGTGACATACCACACACTGGCCATTACAGATCTCCAGAGAGAAATACAAACCTTGAAGACACAACAAGCGTTATCGGACCACCGGTTTGCCACACTCGAAGACTCGAGGCGCCGCAACAACCTCAAGGTCAGAGGGTGGCCAGAAGAAGTCCCGGTGGCAGAGCTCAGCATTTCATCAGGCGACTACTGGGAGTCCTCCTGGCCCCAAGACAAGCCAAAGAAGTAAACCTCGACGGATTATTTAGAGTTCCAAAACCTTGAAAAACACCTGACACCGCCCCGCGAGACAGAGTGGTAAAATTCTGCAGCAACGCAGACAAGCAAACAGTACTCGCAGCCCTCAAGGGGAAGGCGTCCAACGCCTTTGAGAACACATCCCTCTCGTTCTCAAAGGCGTTCTATGCTGACCTATCGGGAGATACTCTACAGTGGAGGAGGCACCTGCAGCCTGTAACTGCTCTTCTCAGAAGCCGCAACTTACTATACAGGTGGAGGTCCCCAAGAACGTTGCAAGTTATCCAAGGAGATTTGACCTACTCAGTGACCGACCTCCAGGGAGCAAACGCCCTCCTGAGCCAGCTGGGACCATCAGAGAACCCCCTGCCTCAACCGGGAACCAGCGGGACAAACCTTGCCACACACAGCTGGGACCCGGCTACAATCAAGCTGTTAGTGCCACAAGGTGCAATGTCCAAAGCATATGCCACAATTAACACCTGAGATATAAGGACCGACACCTGTACAATATCTCTCTCCTACCCCGGATCATAACCCATTGCAGTTCGAAGTTGACTTTTTTTTTTACTTTTCTGTTGGACGTTTCCTTTTCTTATAATTTAAGCCCTATGCTAAGGCCCAAGCCGCCAGAAGGCACTTTGACCCACAGCCCAATGCTCCCATCCCCCCACACCCCCACTAACCACAAGCAACCTTAACTTAGCCAAGCGATACCCTGGGGTGTCACAAGGCTCACCTCAAGGGCCGGTTGCCACTAGCCTGCCCTATCACTCACGCTGCACCTCAACCAGACAACCGACGCTATAGAATAGCGATGCCATCCAGGTACACCACTGGACCTAAGTGGTAGTTTACTCTACAACCCGTCATATATTCCCACAGCAAGAACTGACCCCACTCGGTCCCCTAGCGATTTTGCCAATAATTACTCGATAAAAGGTCGGTTAGCGGGACTTGTCAGGGAAGACCCATCTAGCTTACATATTAAAAACCCTCTACTCGCAGGTCCATTATACAGGACGTTACATACGTCAATCACTGTTTATGTTTATGTATTCCACATTTTCTCTGTAATGTTTATTTCACTCTCTCTGCATTAGCTCTCATGCTTGTGAGTGGAGCAAAAATAAAGAATATAAAAAAAAAAAAAATAGGGAATCATTTTACCCCATATTTTATCTTTAAGGCTACATTGTTAAAGAAAGACTTAATATACATTTGCTGTACAATTCATCAAAACGACGTGAAACTTATAATTCTACCTTACTATTTTCTGTTTCTTTTGCTTGTGTAGATCTTTGGAGCCAATGTAACTGACGCTATGATTTGTCAGGGCATACTTATTGTAATGCACAGCATCGGCCTGGTGCGTCTTTACAGCTTTGAAAGACTATCTGAGCAGGTGATGAACAAGAGGTTTCAAATTGTAACCAGACTTGGTTTGTATTTAATCAGGTGAACCATTGGATTTATTAAATCAAGGGGGACTGTACAGTAGATGCCAAATCTTAAAGGGACACTATAGTCACCAAAATAACTTTAGTTTAATGAAGCAGTTTTTATGTATAGATCATGCTCCTGCCATTTAGGAGTTAAATCACTTTGTTTCTGCAGCACTAGTCACACCTCCCTGGATGTGACTTGCACAGCCTTCCTAAACACTTCCTGTAAAGAGTCATCTAATGTTTAAATTTCCTTATTGCAAATTCTGTTTCATTTAGAATTTCTTATCTCCTGCTATGTTAATAGCTTGGAAGACCCCACAGGAGCCTCCTGTATGTAATTGAATTTCAATTTAAAAAGCAGGAGATAAAAAACTTTTAAAGTAAATTACCTCCGATTGAAAGTGAAACCATGTTTGTTTTCATGCAGGCTGTGTCAGTCACAGTCAGGGGAGGTGTTGCTAGGGCTACATAAACAGAAACAAAAGTGATTTAACAAAAGTGATTGAGCAGTGAGACTTCAAGATCATGATCTATACACCAAAACTGCTTCAATAAGCTAAAGTTGTTTTGGCGACTGTAGTGTCCCTTTAAGACAGACAAAGCATTATAGGAATTGTTCTAGAAAAACTGAGGGTCTCTATGGGTAATCCAACTTTAAAAGATGGAGGGGAGATTATTGAAGCAAGAAGACATACATTGAAAACAATGTATCATAACATAACAGTGATCAAGTACATTGCGCAGGGGATATGTAAACGGACAGTGTCGTATGATTAGAAATCCCTGACGTAAAATTATATGGGAGATTTAATGTGTCAACATCCTAATGCTTTGTAAATCTCTCCTAAATTCCAGTTTATGAAGCAGAAACTTGTCATTGGGCAGACTTGCATTTGGAAGGGTGAAACGAGGACGGTTGGCGAGCCTCCATTTGGCATTCCTTGCAACATCACCTTGACAGGTACTTAGCTGTGTGTTTACTTCTCTTGCAATTCTCAAAGCCCAGCTTTTTTGACAGAAATTGAAATATTGGCATTTCAGACCAGGATTTGGATGTACCATTAATAGCCAGAAGACAGGCGACTTTGTGCGTCCTGTGTTTGCTAACCTCAGAGAAATATTTAAAGGTGGGATTTGGTGGCAAATCAATCTGAATTTGTGTCTAATATATCATAGTTTACAAATGTTACGTACTGTAAAAATACTGGCTAATATCTTTATTATTGAATTTGGATTTAAAACAAGAATTTTACATGGAACTTGGAATTGGTGACTTGTATTTGTGCTGATAATGTTAACCTTTTTCTTGCCGAAGGAGTACACAGATCATGCAAACTAAGGCTATCTTCTTCCTGCACGTTTAATATTGTACAGGTCACTGCTGTAAGTTACAGGGTTACTCCAAACATAAAATAATCCTTGCTATCCTGACTTCCCTAAACATTAAGAAAAGAAAAAAAGTTCTCCTGCCACCCTGGTGCTCTACCACTGATGTCACTACCCCTCACTGGAGAAAGATAAGGGAAGAACGGCCTGAGGCGAGGACATGGGCGGCATGGTGGGTTGAACCATTCTGCCATTGGATGCCAGGCGCCAGCATGTTGTGCATGATGATGTCAGAAATCCATTATGAATAGTTACACCTCCAGCAGCAGAAGAGTTAAACTCTGTATATTTCATAGCAAAACACTGCACGTACAGGCTACAGGCACCATGACCACTTCACGTCAATGAAGTGCTCATCAGAATTGAAATAACCCCTTAAAGAGTGACACACTCCTACACAGCAGATGCTATGATTGCAGGGCTATTTAAAGCAATGCTGGGAGTATCAAGCATTATAATGACCAAAACATACCATGTATGTCATGAGATTATGGGATTTACTCAAACCTTGTCATGATGAATGTGGGAAACTATCCTTGATTCCAACCTCGGAATCTGCAGGTTAAACAACATTTAGGAGACTTCTTATTCAGTTTCACTAGTAAGAGGCCATATTCAGCGCACCGACTCTATTTCACTATAACAATCACATGATAAAAGTGCCAGTTTAGAAACCATTACACTACAACATGCAATATTTTATTTCAGATTTACAATAAGGTGATATAAAGTTGCAGAGAGGAATCCGACACATTTGATGTAATTTCAACCAATACATTTTGAAAGAATTATAGTAAAATGTGATCTATAGATTTTTTTTCTGTTTCTATGAAATGTAGTTAGTATTAGGACTTTTATACATTAGCTACCTTGTATTGCTTCTATTACAAAGTAAAGTAAATGTTTGAATAGGGCTGCACTCAGTTTGAGACAAAGATGACGTGTTTTTGGTTTGTTTACCTGGAAACTGCATGAAGAGCTGTGGTTGCTTCTTTTGGAAACAATACAGTCCGTTTTGTCCTCTGAAGACTCGTGTTTTTATATGCAATAAACTGAGCGGATCATCACTAGGCTCCCTGTTCTCATGTCCCCAAAATAGGTCTGTCACTTGCTGTTGATTGACTTGAGCACGTTCCAATGCGATCTATGTGTGCTTCAGACAACATCACCTGCCAAGAAGATTTTGGTGTAAAAAAATTAATATTTCTGCAAAGATTACTGTCCTTTCTAAACCCCTTAGGTGGCATGTTCAGTTTAATGTTAGCATCCATTAAAAATGCAAAAGATAAATTTGAACATTAGTTTAACTTTAACTTAGTTTTTTGTTTTTTTTATTTTTTTAGTTCTTTTATTTGGGTAATTTTATTTTTCTTAACACTAAAAAGTGGCATGTGTTGATTTCATCTCAGTTGTGTTAAATTTCTTGAAGTAACACACATACGGGATATTTCACATTTTCACCTCCATGGATGTAGTGACATGGAATTGGCAGCAATTGTATAAATTAGTAGCGGGATACCGATTGTGTACATGTTCCAATTCATTTGTGTTATGTGTTCTCATATGTGTAGAAAGGCCCCCATTTCTGTTTGAAGTCTCCTGCCAAGACAACGCATTTCAAGTGGGGGGATACCCCTGGCATTACATCATCACCCCAAACAAGAAGAAATACAAGGGCATCTATCACATACGATCCATGGATGATCACAGCTTGGTAATTTTTTTATTTATTTATATGGAATTTAATCGCAATATTAGTTAAAAATGGGGAGTAAGTTCATAGATTGCAGAAGATGAAGAAAGAACGCTGATGGCAGAAAACAAAGATTGGAACAGTGTTGTAAATACAAACGTGTTTAATAAGCTACAAAGTAACAGTATTGAATAGAGCAGTGCAATAGCGTATACGTATCCCAACTAATCCCAACAGCAAACCCTCATCTAACCTGCCTAAAAATGTTCTGGACATTTGTACACTTGGCTACGTTTTTGTAGTTGTCCATATATGGTCTATAGTGTATTTCTTTGATTATGTACCCAGCCCTTAACTGAAGAGCACTTGACAGTATTTCCTTCATTGTTCCGAGACAAGCATTTACAAGGACACCCGTTATACTTTTTGGGGAAATCACAGATTTTCCTGTGCTATGTAGCAAATAATTTTTTTATATAATTCCAGAAAATATCTGCCCATGCTCACTTCTTCAGCAAAGATTTTATTCTGCACATGACCCAGTAGTAGTAGTATATTTTTAAAGTGAAATTTAATGTGACATTTTTGGAATTTGTTAATTATTTTTTTAAATATTGCATGTTTTACTTTTTTCTTTCTTTTTTTTTTTTTTTTCTTCAAATCGTATTTTTAAAACCGAGCATAATTATAAGTGGGCCATCAAATGTAAGGGAAATGTGAAAACCAAGCCCATGTGCATTGCCACCTATAAATAGCCAAAGAACATGCTGGTAATGAAGGTCAGTAATAGTAAAGCATATGTCCACAAAGAAAAATCCTCAAAAATGAAATGTTAAATATAATGATTTTCTACTTACACTAATCCAGGATTGATAAACAATGCTATTGAATCCATACGTGCTTGTGAAAAAAAAAAGTCTCCAATAAAATAAAAAATATTGAAAATATTGTATATTTTTTATTTGCCCAAAGTAACTAAACGAGAGCCTGTAGAATACAATACTATACTTTGTATGGTGCCTCTTACATCTCCTGGAAGCTGGTAGCTGTGTACTACTATCAGATCACAAGTTAGAGCGAACTTCCTCGGGGGACCGGGATACAGTAGTTATTTGTTTCATTTTTGTTTGTTTTTTCCAATTTGTCTTGCAACGTTTTATTTTATTATTTCATAGGCAAAGAATGGGATAAGAGACATTAAATGCTGCTCCTTAGAGCCTGACTGGATACATTTTCACACAGATGCTTCTGAAAGGATAATACATGTTGCTCCTGACCAAATCAGGCAAGACAAAACATTTCTCCTCTCTGTCTCTCTCCATAAACATTACATTACTTAATGCTGGTATGACCACCGGAATCATAAAACCAACTGAATAGAATGGATCCGGCCTGTGTGTTCCAAACTGAAATAACGAGAAGTAAAATAAAAACACAGGCAACACATATTATGTTACCTGTCCTAGCTTACATATATCTATATTTTCATAGTTCATTATCAATTTAGCAGGTAACTGAAATTAATAATAATAAAAAACCTAAACAAAGAAAACTAAACTTTGGTTGAGAAAAGGTGGAAATTAATCCAACAATACTCTGTATCTAAACAAAATGCATAATGTATTTTCTTTTATAAAAAGCGCAAATAAAGACAATATAATAAATATGCATCCATCATATACAGTCAGTTCCATAAATATTGGGACATCGACACAATTCTAATCTTTTTGGCTCTATACACCACCACAGTGGCTGAAATGAAATAAACAAGATGTGCTTTAACTGCAGACTTTCAGCTTTAATTTGAGGGTATTTACATCCAAATCTGGTGAACGGTGTAGGAATTACAACAGTTTGCATATGTGCCTCCCACTTTTCAAGGGACCAAATGTAATGGGACAATTGGCTGCTCAGCTGTTCCATGGCCAGGTGTGTGTTATTCCCTCATTATCCCATTTACAAGGAGCAGATAAAAGGTCCAGAGTTCATTTCAAGTGTGCTTTTTGGATTTGGAATCTGTTGCTGTCAACTCTCAATATGAGATTCAAAGAGCTGTCACTATCAGTGAAGCAAGCCATCATTAGGCTGAAAAAACAAAACAAACCCATCAGAGAGATAGCAAAAAAATTAGGTGTGGCCAAATCAACTTGTTGGAACATCCTTAAAAAGAAAGAATGCACCGGTGAGCTCAGCAACACCAAAAGACGCGGAAGACCACGGAAAACAACTGTGGTGGATGAACGAAGAATTATTTTACCTGGTGAAGAAAACACCCTTCATAACAGTTGGCCAGATCAAGAACACTCTCCAGGAGGTAGCTGTATGTGTGTCAAAGTCAACAATCAAGAGAAGACTTCACCAGGGTGAATACAGAGGCTTCACCACAAGATGTAAACCATTGGTGAGCCTCAAAAACAGGAAGGTTAGATTACAGTTTGACAAGCAACATCTAAAAAAGCCTTCACAGTTCTGGAACAACATCCTATGGACAGATGAGACCAAGATCAACTTGTACCAGAGTGATGGAAAGAGAAGAGTATGGAGAAGGAAAGTTACTGCTCATGAGCCAAAGCATACCACCTCATCAGTGAAGCATGGTGGTGGTAGTGTCATGGCGTGGGCATGTATGGCTGCCAATGGAACTGGTTCTCTTGTATTTATTGATGATGTGACTGCTGACAAAAGCAGCAGGATGAATTCTGAAGTGTTTTGGGCAATATTATCTGCTCATATTTAGCCAAATGCTTCAGAACTCATTGGACGGCGCTTCACGGTGCAGATGGACAATGACCCGAAGCATAATGCAAACGCAACCAAAGAGTTTTTTAAGGGAAAGAAGTGGAATGTTATGCAATGGCCAAGTCAATCACCTGACCTGAATCCAATTGAGCATGCAATAAAGACAAAACTGAAGGGAAAGTACCCCAAGAACAAGCAGGAACTGAAGACAGTTGCAGTAGAGGCCTGGCAGAGCATCACCAGGGATGAAACCCAGCGTCTGGTGATGTCTATGCATTCCAGACTTCAGGCTGTAATTGACTGCAAAGGATTTGCAACCATGTATTAAAAAGTGAAAGTTTAATTTATGACTGTTAATCTGTCCCATTTCTTTTGGTCCCTTAAAAAGTGGGAGGCACATATACAAACTGTTGTAATTCCTACACCGTTTACCTGATTTGGATGTAAATACCCTCAAATTAAAGCTGAAAGTCTGCAGTTAAAGCACATCTTGTTTGTTTCATTTCAAACCCATTTTGTTGGTGTATAGAGCCAAAAAGATTAGAATTGTGTCGATGTCCCAATATTTATGGACCTGACTGTATATATATATATAGAAATATCTCATATCATATTTTAAAGGTTATTTTTGACAAATATTCAAGAGATATTTCTGCGTATCCACATCCCTCAGTGATAAACTCAATATTCTAAATTCTGTATAGATTTAAATAATATATACTGTGTATGTGAATGCATGTATATATTCCATAATAACTTCAGATAAGTTATATCACGTTATTAAAAGAATAGTCTAACGTTAAAACCGTGTTTAATTTTAACCTTCGTTTGTTCGTTTATACACTTGGATTCTGGATCCCCTTTAAACATGAGAAGGATAAAAAACAAAACTTTCAATTTACACTCCACCTCTTCTGGGATTATCAGTTGTGATCATCTCAGTCCAATCAATGCTTTTCACTGGGAGCCTACGGCACATGCATTAAATCCAATGCTTTTCTATGAGAAGCATTAACAGCATCATGCTGTTTGATTTCATAAGTTCTTCCTTAGTAAATGCCTCTAATGGTTGTCAGTCTGACCTCCACTAGAGACATGTCCTCTGGCAAATAGAAGTACTGTATTGCTATTTCTGTGAAACAGCAGTTTTTTATATTGTCAGAGAAAAAGGGATAGCATCTAAGCACTAAAATTAAGATGAAGTTGTTTTGGTGCTTCCAGTATTTATTTAAAGGAGATGTTTGAAAGATAGTGTGACTTTTCTCAACCCAAAGGGACTGCCCCCATCTCAGCCACAACAACAATGTTGAATTAACACTGAATGCTTGATGTCAGCTTTGTCCAACTTGGACTGCATTGATTGGGTCCAAGTTCTGGGCTAACCTAGCCCTGGAGCCATGGGCGTCTGCAGGAATTTTTCCAGGGGGGGGCATAATTGTATTGACATCCATGCTTGGTCCCCTTTTGACAGTGTCATGAAAGGGTAGGGGCATAGTCATTATCACATAAAGCCAGGGTGAATAGCGTTTTCACAACTATGGTGTCAGGAATACATGTTTGTTCTCCTGACACTATAGTGTTTCATTAAGCAAATTAAAGAAACATTCTGGTCACCATAACAACTTCACCTAAATGAAAATGCTATGATGCCAGGAAGCCCCTGGGTGCTCTCTTTCCTTTAAGGGGTTAAACTGCTCTCAAATGGTTTAACCCAAAAGGCTTCCTCCAGCTCCAGATCTCTAGGTTGCTCAGTGGTATTCAGCTTCTGAAATGGAGTGTCAGGAAGTGCAGATTGACGTTAGGCATGGGTGCTGCAGATTGGCTAGAGTGGTCAGCTGACGCTCTAAGCCAATCGCTAGTTCCCTGTTCATAAATTCTTTTTACTTTTTTATGAATTGGGAGCTACTGATTGGCTTAGAGTGCCAGCTGACCGCTCTAGCCAATCAGCGACACCCCTACCCAGCGGCACTCTGTGCTTCCTGACACTCAGTAAATAAAAGGGAACACAGTAACACTTATATATTTTTTACCTGGGGAGATGAGAAGGTCCAAAGTTTCCCTGCCAGGCCCAGGTACCAAAGCCTTACGATGTGGTGTCCAGAATAAAGTGGAGGGTTCACTTCACTTGTCCTTCCTGCTCCAGTCTCCCTTTCTTCTCCTTCATTTGACACAGTCTTCTTTTTCTTCTGACACTGTCTTCTTTCCTCCTTGGCTCCTTCTGCTCCTTTACCTTTCTGCTACTTCCTGCTTATTCTGAGCCCTTTGCTCCTTTCTCTTTCTGATCCCTTTCTGCTCCTTGCAGACCCTTTCTGCTCATTCTCCTACTTTACCTTTGTTCTCCTTCTGTCCCTTTCTGCTCTTTGCAGACCCTTCCTTCTCCTTGTAGACCCTTCCTTCTCCTTGCAGACCCTTCCTGCTCATTGCTGACCCTTCCTGCTCATTGCTGACCCTTCCTGCTCCTTGCAGACCCTTCCTGCTCCTTGCTGACCCTTTCTGCTAATTTTTGCTCCTTCTCCTACTTTACATTTGTGCTCCTTCTGCCCCTTCCAGCTCATTGCTGACCCTTTCTGCTCCTTGATGTCCCTTCCTGCTTATTTCTGTTCCTTCTCCTACTTTACCTTTGTGCTCCTTCTGTCCCTGCCTGCTCCATGCTGCCCTTTCCATTTCCTTGCTAACCCTTTCTGCTCCTACTACTTTACCTTTTTGCTGCTTTACCTTGCAGCTCCTTGCTGACCCTTCCTGCTCTTTGCTGACCCTTCCTGATCTTTGCTGCCCCATCCTGCTCATTTCTGTTCCTTAGTGCTCCTTATCCTACTTTACCTTTTGTGCTCCCTGCTGTCCCTTCCATCTCCTTGCTGCCCCTTTTTGCTCCTTGATGTCCCTTCCTGCTCATTTCTGTTCCTTCTCCTTTCTGCTCCTACTCTTACTTTACCTTCCTGCTCCTTGCTGACCCTTCCTGTAGGCTGTCTTCCCCATCCCTCACTTACCTGATCTATAGGCTGCTTCCCCCAATCCCTCACTTACCTGATCTATAGGCTGTATCTCCCCTCCCTCACTTCCCTGCTCTGAAGGCTGCCCACCCATGCCTCACTTCCCTGATCTATAGGGTGCCTCCCCCATGCCACAATTCCCTGATCTATAGGCTCTCTCCTCCCCCCCCCGATCTGTAGGCTGTGTCTGCATGCTGGGAGTTGCTGGCTGCACTCTGTGCTGCTCCCCTGCAGATGCAGTCAGGAGAGAGAAGCAGGGATAAGATGTAGCTTCCTATCCCTGTCTCTCTCCATACACAGCGCTACCTACTGGCCTGCCCCGGTATTGCACTGTATTTTCAATCTCACATGAAAAATAGCAGGGGGGAGGGGCAAACTGAAAAATTCGAGGGGGGAGGGGCAAGTGTACCACTGTGGACGCCCATGCCTGGAGCTGTTCTCATTAGGCTGCTTGTAGTGCCCCATTAAGTTATTTTTACACTAACTAAGGGTTTTGGGGTGGCAAGCACAACCCAACATTTCTACATCTGAAAAAATGGTCTTATTTATGATGTGGGTGCTCATTAAGTACTAATCAGCTGTATATTATTGTTGAATTGAGATTTTGAGTAAAAACTAGAATAGCCTTGTTGGAACAATGTGTCAGGAATGTATTGTTCTCACACAGCTGTTGGGGGACATGCTTACTGAATGCATACAAAGTGCACATTGTGTTCCTGCTAAATAGCCCCATGCCTGCATTTCATTATGTAAATTCCATTGTTTGCTGCATGAAAGAGAAACCCAGTAGCTACTGTGTATAATAATATTCGTACACTGCTAGTAGATAAATCCCATCATACGCTGCCAGGCTTTCCTCACACATTCACTATTTCTTCTCTTCTTATAATCCTGTACACCATTGACACCTAGTGTAAATTGTAAACACCAGTCGATCTTCATTTTCTATAGTAAGGGTCGGCAATCTTCAGCACTCCAGATGTTTGGACTACATCTCCTCTGATGCTTTGCCAGCATAATGGCTGTGAGAGCTTAATGGGAGATGTAGTCCACAACATCTGGAGTGCCGGTGGTTGCCTTCCCCTGCTCTATAGCAATATGTGGTGCCTGCCCTTCTTCGGGTATGGAATCTCTGTGAAGCTGCGGGAAAGGGAGGTTCTCCTTACTGTATATCTGTAGTGAACATTAAAGCAGAACTGACAGTTTCTTATTCCTTCATCCAACTAAACTCTGGCAGTTTCTTATTCCTTCATCCAACTACACTCTAACTGTTTCTTATTCCTTCATCTAACTACACTGTAACTGTTTCTTATTCCTTCATCCAACTACACTGTAACTGTTTCTTATTCCCTCATCCAACTACACTCTGAAAGTTTCTTATTCCTTCATCCAACTACACTCTAACTGTTTCTTATTCCCTCATCCAACTACACTCTGAAAGTTTCTTATTCCCTCATCCAACTACACTCTAACTGTTTCTTATTCCCTCATCCAACTACACTCTGAAAGTTTCTTATTCCTTCATCCAACTAAACTCCAAAAGTTTCTTATTCCTTCATCCAACTAAACTCTGAAAGTTTCTTATTCCCTCATCTAACTAAACTCTGAAAGTTTCTTATTCCTTCATCTAACTAATCTCTGAAAGTTTCTTATTCCTTCATCCACCTTAACTCTGAAAGTTTCTTATTCCTTCATCCACCTAAACTCTGAAAGTTTCTTATTCCTTCATCCAACTACACTCTGAAAGTTTCTTATTCCTTCATCCAACTAAACTCTGAAAGTTTCTTATTCCTTCAGCTAACTAAACTCTGAAAGTTTCTTATTCCTTCATCCAACTAAACTCTGAAAGTTTCTCATTCCTTCATCCAAATAAACTCTGAAAGTTTCTCATTCCTTCATCCAGCTAAATTCTGAAAGTTTCTTATTCCTTCACCCAAGTAAACTCTGACAGAATCTTATTCCTTCATCCAACTAAATTCTGAAAGTTTCGTATTCCTTCATCCAACTAAACTCTGACATTATCTTATTCCTTCATCTAACTAAACTCTGAAAGTTTCTTATTCCTTCATCTAACTAATCTCTGAAAGTTTCTCATTCTTTCATCTAACTAAACTCTGAAAGTTTCTTATTCCTTCATCCAACTAAATGTGCTCTGATTTTGTCACAAATGTTACATTTTGAATATCTAGTAACTGGATTCTTTGTTTCCTCATTTCCTTTAGTGTTTTAAGGCTCAAGGAGCTACATAATGATTCATTCCAATACCAGGTGACCGAGGACTACTCCATTTTAGCCTGCAGGGACAGAGAGGTAAGTGAACCAAGTCTTATTGCTGACATGTACCTGGAGAGTCTGGCAGCTTGTTGGTTGGGAACATGTCATTTTTGCAGTCCAATATATCAGTAGGAAACTCTATAATTTAATCAGTCAATCAGTATTTATTGAAGATTTTCAGTATACAGAGGAATAGATAAGCAATAACAAAAGGAAAATATGGATTAACAAATACATGTCTGTTAGTGCACCTATTATACATCGCTACGGAATTTGTTGGCACTTATTACTAATACTATGATAATAATAACATCAGAACCCATGCAGTAGGACACGGAGGTGAAAATGGTCCGGATACTTTAAGCTTGCAGCTTATTGTAAAGATGAAGAGAAAGGCGATTCCCAAAAAGAAACATCTCAGGTAGTAAGTGCTAGGTGCAATAGGCGGAGAAAGGGGAAATTAAGTTGGAAGGCACTCTGCCCCTCTAAGAGGTCGTCTTACCGGCACCTGCTCCCAAGTTCCCCTCTTCATCCGTGTGTTAACTGTGGGCCACAGCTGGATGGGTAGAGTTGCAGCACCGCTTTACCCTGAAGGACGGTGGTCTCAGGGCCTTCTTTACCCATGGGCTCGCTGGGCAGTTGCCCGGGGGCACCACAGGCATGGGGGCCCAACCGTGCTGCCCAGCATGCCCGGCTGATAGGGGAGATCCTTTGATCTCCCCTGCTGACCCATAGAGAGCCAGCCCTGCTCTCTTGCCATTGCCCCTCTCGGGCAGGTGGGGAGATCAAATATCTCCCTCACCGCCCCAAAGGCCCTTCGAAAGGGGGAGAGAGGGCAGGAGGCAGGAGGAGGGATCTCAGAAGCAGATCTTTCCTCCCACAAGCAGGCTGTGTGGAGCGTTGCTGTGTGTTGCCATGACAACGCTCCACACAGCGCTCAGCTCGGGAGGAGTGAAGACCGCCTACAGTCAGAAGAGCTGCAGGCTATATAGATCACACCGGATCACCAGGGCTGGCAGTGTCCCCCCTTTCCTCCTTCACTAAAGGTAAGAAGAAAGGTTGGGGGGTGGACATGTAGATTTTATTAATGTTTAAGTTTTGTTTGTTTTTTTAAACATGAAAACATTTGCTCCATGCACCCCTCACACTCTGCAACATACAAACACTACCCACCCACAGCACATCACACATAGCATCTCTTAAACACACACACAGCATCTCTCAAACACACCCCACCCACAGCACCTCACACACATCATCTCTCAAACACACACACAGCATATCTCAAACACACACCCACCCACAGCACCTCTCACACACACAAACACACACAGCACCTCACACACTGCATTTCTCAAACACATACAGCACCCCCCCCACACACACAGTACTCCTCACACAAACACAGCACCCTTCGTACACATCACACACACCCTGCACCCCCCCACACACACAGCACCCCTACACACACAGCACCCCTACACACACACAGAACATACACTGCACCCCTCACTGCCGTCTGTGTGTTTAGCAGTCTGTGTGTGTGTGTGTGTGTATTCAGTAGTCTGTGTGTGTGTGTTTAACAGTCTGTTATGTGTATTCGGCAGTCTCCTTGTGTGTGTGTGTGTATACAGCGGACTGTGTATGTATTTAAAAGCAGAAGAGAGAGTAAGCACTTAATAACAAGATGAGGCAGCAGCCCTTAGAGGTAATTCCTCAAAAACCCTTTAGATACAACAAGGAAAAAAACAGAAATAAAAGATGCGCCAAATTTGACCAATAAAATAAGAGAGTAGTTCAAATACAAAAGTCTTAGCTGAATAGATCTTCCTTAGATCAAATAGTCTGTAAAGTGCTTGGTCAGGAATAATGTCCTTGCTGTCCTTCCCCAGGGGGATCCAATAGTATGAAAAGATAAAACAAATAGAAAACCAAATAGTGTGGTATGTTCACTAGGGTACAACAGATGATAAAAGAAGATAGTAATGCACTCACATGTATTAGAGCTAGATTTTTATCGATAATTTATATTTTTATTCCTGTGAGTTGTTGTGTAGGCAGAACCCCAGTGCATTGCTTTGCCCAGGGGCCCATAATGCTGTTAAGATGGCACTGGCTGGTCTCCCTTCCCTACGGCTGAGCACACCAGGGTCTCCGGCATGCCTGGAAGAGAGACCATGTCGGCCACAATGTGAGACGCTGCAAGGGAGTCCCAGGTAAGTAAGAATGTGACAATGGGATAAGCACAGTAAAGCTCCCAATAAAAGCAAAATGGAGGGGTGGGAATTGACTGTTGACCGGGACAGTCAAATCACATGGTAGCTGGGAGCCCTCATGGTTGGGAGAAGTGCCCAAATTCCCAACGTGCAGGCTCAGATTTTGTTACATAGAAGCCCCCCTCTCCTGGCTAATCCTAGTCCCCACCGTGAAGCCTTGTTAATAGAAGCTCATTCTCGACTCGGCCATGTGGCAATCTAAGATGGCCTCCTTTATGAACACAATGCGACCAGCAATGGAAGGCAAATTGTGGAGATGAAAGCAAACTTCAATCGGGCATATGATGTAATCTGCAAGGGCTTTTGGCCTATTTACTTAATTGTCTCACATGTTAGAAGCACATTGAAGTCAAAATATGGTTAATATTGTCGGGCTTGCTTCTCTTGTTGGTTTTTAAAAACATTTTTCCTTTATTTTTTTTAGGAAAAAAATCATGTCACGATAACATCTTCTGGAAGGATTGTAAAAAGGCGGATCAGTCAACTAGATGATGATCCAGAGAAAGAGGTATAAAGAGAATAACCCTTTTAATTTAACAATAACTTAATGTGGTTAATCTGACATAGTTCCATCAGCCTGAGGCTGAAAATATTGATCTTTGTTGACACTAGAACACAGAATCCAAGATGTGAAGGCTTGTGGTCAAGTTCTTACCTGTTTATAGTGTTCTGGACTGGTCCTCATTAAAACACTAGTGGCAGTGACCGTCGATCAGTGAGGACTTGTACCTTAATGCTATCTGCGGATCCGAAGCCAGGAGATTCCTGGTGGGCACAGAATATGTGCGATGGAAAATGAACGAGTTAGATACAAAAGGGGAGATTTATCAAGTCAAAAACATGTGTAATTCTGGGGCAAAAAGCTAAATTAGGTGCAATAACCATGGAAACCAATAGAATGTCTCTCTACTTTTAGCACTTTGCACCCAGAATAACAGCTGTTTTGCCTTGATAAATCTCCCCCTTAGTGTTTTACCTTTAAAAGGAGGGCCACCGGGTGGACATGTATTCACTCCTAGTACAGTATATTTAGTCTGTATAACTGTGGACACCACAAAGAATCTACCAGCAACAGATTATGTAAATATTTACTGTGTCAATATTAAAATTGGGATTTAGGATTATTCATTAGGAGACTATCCTCTGACTGCCCTATTATAATTAACATAGCTATATTCTGAGTCTTTCTTATATAGGATTGGGGAAAAATGTAACACAATACCATATGTGATCACAATACAATAAACTGCGGTAACTTTACTAGTATGTCATTATGTCAAATTTGAGATTGTTTTATGCTGGTTTGGAGTTCATCACTGATAATTTATATGCTTATAGATGTTTAATATGCTACTGCCAAGCACAGCATGTAGGAGATTAGTTAAAGGTCAGACAATATAACCAGTGACTTGTTTTAAATTTGAATGTGCTGTGTCCTTTTCTGATTATATGATATTTGTGTAACATAATTCATAGTTGCTGTGTGTTCTAGAATACTTTCTGGTGTGTTTCTCTGAAATGGAATTCCATCTACGGATTAAATAAATAAACCAGCAGAAGGTAAGATATGGACGATTTCATGTAGACTGTTTCCTGATGTCCCTAAACTTTTCCAGACATTTAAAATCGTGGTTTATGAAGATGAACTGGATCTGCTGACAGTGGTTGCGGTGACTCAGGCTGACACAGAGGGTAATGCTCATGTTGACCTGCATTGCAATGATACGGGAACTCTCCTGAAGAAGATCGCTTTGAGGGAATCCTGGGATGTGGTAAGATTCCGTCATTGTTTTTTCTGAGACTATTTCTGAAAAATTAATTGTCTCTTCTATCACTAGTTATAAAGAACAATTAACCGGAAGAAAGGAGGTTGGACAGTTTTTAAATTGTTTACTATGTTGAATCATGTATTCAACAGCATAAAAATTGTATCACCCAAAAAATGCACATCCTTTATTTTGTTTTGTAATTATGTTTATTTTGGAACTCAAGCTGTGAAATGTGCTTGGTGTATATCAAAGGTTCTTGTGATTATCCGGATTCTCCATTCATTTCTCATACAGCAGGTTATGAAAGTTGCAGAATACATCCTAGGCTGTGAATGTTTACTGAGTTTAATCATACAATGATTTGTGAGTTATTCATTTAAGAAGTTTGTGTTTGCTCTTTGTTGTTTGTCTTCTGTGACTGAGAAAGAGATCGCCACAATTTTAAGAGTAATTAATGTAAAAATCCAGTTAATTCCAAAGGGGGAAAAAAACGACAAAAAGTTTCTAGTGACTGTATGACATTCCACCACCTTTCAATCCAAACACAATCTGGCCTCTCGTATCTGTCAAAAGGAAGCTCCGTCAGGACTTGACCCATTCTTATTTTACGTTTGGATAATGCATTACAAACCTGTATTGAAAAACAAAACGATGATATGTCAATACAAAATATATTCAAGTCTGAAGTATACGCCTGCATGTGTTAGAAATCCCCAGGACTTCCAGTTACTGCTGTGAACTAAGAGCAGACCAAATGGTGGATCAACCACTCGGGATGCCCTCATAAAGTTTTATGGCAGTGATGAGCTTATCCCACGAATGCATTTTTCGCACATCGGACTTTTTCTCTGAGCTGTGCTTCAGCTGTCCACTTTTTGTTCTAGAACTAGTGCTGAATATAGTGCTTAACATAGCTATAACATGGATTGAGCACTATTGTGAAATCTTTGTAGATGTATTGCTTGCCTAGTAATACTCAAAGCCCTGTTCCCTTTGACTTCAGTGGAAACATGGCTCTGAAATTCGCGTAGTCCTACTTGGTAAGGACTTAATCCTAGGTTTAGAAGCACCTTTCAGTGTGCTTACCACCTAGATAAGGGACACTCAGACACACAAATAGTAAATAACATTTCACAAACTAAAACCTCCAAGAGTTTGTTACAAAGTTCCGTGCCAGACAACTACAGTAATTCCTGTGCAGATATATCAATTTTCCGGCTAAATGGCCTTTATTTGTTGGTTGGACATGTACTTATTGCCTCTTGGATTAAAACCTACAACATAAGAAGAACTGTTTATATAATGTTTACCAGCAGATAGTCTTTGTTTCCCCCCCTGACTTGATAATTCTCAAACAGGGGACCTCTAGATTTGTAATCAGGAAGGCACACTGGGACCAACTTTTTATTTTAGGAGATTTGTTCACTAAACACTGAATAACAGTAAATTGAAAACCAAACAGCAAAATTTAGGTTGTAATAACCAATCTGTGTTTACAGCGGAGTTGGAGCATGTTCACAAATCAACAATTTTTACCAAAGTGTGCAGTTTAGTGGAGGCGAACTTCAGGTTTATAATACAAATTATTTCATTACAAATCGTTTGTTGTAAATTATAATTCTGATGTTTTACGAGGATACAACAAATAGCCGATTACCAGTTGATATTTGTAAGACAGCGTGGGGATATTATATTCATGTATCTTACATGGAGACCTTTCAATACAACAGCAATATGTACTGAATGTGAAAGTAATGTGATGTATATTTGTTTTTCAGACTCACAGTCACGCCATATTTTTTGACAGAGACACACTGATACACATTGAAGAGAGACCCAACCGCAATTTTTACTGTTACGTTTATAAAATGCAGTGTGAGTCCGCAGAGTAAATAAAGAGTTTTCAATCACTGCAGTTAAGACACATGTTCCACCAATTAATTTTCTCCATTTTTGTATTTTATTTTGTAAAATAAAGATTGGTTGTAGAAAAGTCAAGCGCTATATTTCTTCTTTAACATATTTCTATTTATATATGAAATTAACCACTGTAGTTGTGAGTAGAAAAATTTAAATAAATGCAAGATCATTCAAAATTTTTGAAAATGCTGGGTTCACAAATGTTTGCTTTACTGCAGTTGCACATATTCCTCTGCTGGGAAAAAAGGCAAAGAGACACTACCAACAATTAAGATATATATTTAATTCAGGGATGGCTCTACTGTAAGACGTGTCAGGGATCCACCTGAAGTGCCAGCTCTGAGGGGGCACCCTGCCACAGCACAGGCTGATTAAATTATCTCCTAGACTGACCCTGCACTCATACAGTGGTGAGAGAGAGCCAGAGGCTGTCCCCTGGGGTGGTCACACATCATTATCAGCAGTTCCTCATTACCGGAAAGTGTGTTTACAAGAACTGCCCACCATCACCAGGGAGCAGCATCACAGCCCTACTGGACCCAAAAAATCAGGACCCTCCCCTTTGTTGTCAGGATGTTACCTGGTTTGGAGTCCGACATGCAGAGTTATACGCTCACCCTTGTAAATAAACACAGACCAAGGTGACCAAGTAAGAAGCCACCTGGGCTGTGAGTCTGTGCACAGGGGCTGTGCAGGAATAGTGCTCCTAATCGCAGTACAGGCAAGGACAAGCAGAAGAGTTTTCGAGGAAAGCCAAAGTCAAGGGGAGCCAGAGGTTAGAGTAAACAAAGAAATAAGCCAAGATCAGAAGACAGAATCAGTCTGGAGTGGAGAACACAGGATTTGGATACACAATAACGAACCAAACAGGAGAACTAGAGTCAATGAACTGACACTATCCTCAGGGAGAGGCAGTGTCTTATACCTGGCTAATTAGGCATCTGCTTCAGGTGGACTGAGATTGACAGAAGCAGCCACAGGTAATATCCAGCCCCCTAGTACTGCAGACAAGGCAGGATAGGAGATCAGGCAGAAATATGAACTGAAGTGTGGCTCAGAGGCACAGTGAGTTGCGGCGTGGGGGCAGGCACTAAAAATGCTTGTTTATTGTAATATATGGGCACCGCAAACAGAGGTGCTACCTAATGCATTGATACATGCACTCATCACAGCTATTTACAACACACACTCCTACTTACACAGACACAACACCTAGCTACAAACACAGTGACCCACACTCAGTGGAGTCTCATCTATAGGGGCACCTGAGGTAGCGAACAATCAATTGTTATGTGTGGAAAAAATTCTTTGCAATAGTTTAATAACAATATGATTCTTTTTCTGGGGAAAGCCGAGTTAAAAAAAAAATGGGTGAAAAAATAGATTAACATATTTCAGCCATTGCCTTTGAGTGTGTCAAAATAAATAAATAAACACCTTAATTTTGATAGGTTTCCGTTCTGCAGGGTCCTTCCTGCTCATTGACGGCTGTATAAAGAAGCTCTTTTCAGAGAAACTATACATGTCAAAACATTGGAAATATGTGAAATCTGCCATGTTTCAGCTGGTTTTACACATGCCTAGTCTCTTTTAAGGAGGAATTTCAGTGGCCTCCCATCGAGTTGCCATTTGGATAGCAGAGCCAGCTGCCCATAAGTGGAGACATGCTACTGGATTGTCTATTCACGGGTCAACATTGGCTGATAGCACCAGGGAGTGGGGTTACAGTGACCACTGCAAAAAGCAGAGAGACACCAGCTTCAAAGTAGCAGAAACAAAGTATAGCAGCAACAGCTCCTGGTCCCTGTCAAATGTAAGTGTAGAATTGTATCCATTTTCTCTCCTCCAACAGCCTGTTTGCCTAAAGGCTGATTTAGCCAGGAAATTTACTGAAATATGTAATATATATATAGAGCCATGGAAAGGAATAAAATAGTAGATATTTCTGCCTGTCACTGATACAGCACATTACATAGTGTAGACACAGCTGCCCTTAAACCTTAACCCACCATCTTCTTTAAAGTCCTCGGTAAGTCTAGCTGAGAACTAAGAGACATGATGTGGCTAGATGAAAAGTTGTGAAGCTCCACACTGCAGGACTAGGGCTGTGACTCTGACTCTGATTTCTCTTTGTAGTAATTGTTACTTCAGTTAACCATGTCACCTACTCCTTCCTTGGCTCCATGTTACCACTTGCAACATTTCCTTTTAACTGACTTAACATTCTGATATATAATTGTTGTCAATTGTTTGTAAATATGTGTCATCACTGACTTTTGTTGACATACATTGAGACAATGGAGAACATATGGTGTGCATCAAGTTACAGTACATTCCAGCTCTGTGTGTTTCTGGTACAGATGGTACAGAGACGTGCAGAACAAATATCAATATGGACTTTTTCCCCTGTAAATCAAAATATATATTATTATTTTTTGGTAAGATATACATTAACCCACTCATTTCATGTCATCCATCTTTCAATGAATCAATATACTAACTGTATGGAAAAGGGACGTACAATAGTTATCTGAAAAAACCCTTCCAGCTGTTTCACACTTGTGCACTTCAACTCCTTAGTGATACACGAAAAAAGAAACTAGGGAAAAGTGCCATACACTGGAACCCTAGCATCTACAGAAGACAAACATCTTGAGTAGAAGTCCACAAATGCTTTGATTATAGGTGTATAATATCACACTATATTGTACATTTTCTCTTTTTTTTCCCATACATTTTTGAGAGGTGTTTCTTAAAGTGACAGAGCGAATAAGAACCAATGCTGATTCTCATGTCCCCATTGAAAGCACTTTCAGTGGTGGACATGGGTCATTATGGACACTCTAACTGGTCTGTGGATTCACAGCCCCATATACAGCAAACTGCAATGCACCGTGTGTTATGACACCTTTCTATCATACCCAGAATTAAAGGAACACTATAGGGTCAGGAACATAAACATGTTTTCCTGACCCTATAGTGTTTAATCCACCATTTAGGTGACTTGCTCCCCCTTAACCCACTTAGAAAATGTTAAAATTAACCTTATTTCCAGCGCAGCACGGTTCCGCCGACTCTGGCCCCGCCCCATACGCCTCCTTGGTGACATATTCAGAATATTTTTAGCCAATCCAATGCTTTCCCATAGGGACAGGATTTCCAATAGTAACAGGACAGCAGAGTTGGTAGGTGTTCACTTTTTACCTCTCAGAGGCACTATGGTTACCTTCTGTACCTAGCTCAGAAGGGGGCGACCTCTCTTCATATTGCACTGTCATGGAGTAGGCAGAGCCACCTCCAGCGTGGTCCAATCCAATTCTCCTCATAGAAAGAGGAGCCTTTGGGACCTGATGTGCATGCGCGTCGAGCGCCGTGTGCACTCATACTTTTCCATAGGTAAGCATTGAGTCACGTTTTACTCAGTCTGTGCCGGGGAAGTGCCTCTAGTGGCTGTCAGTGTGAAAGCTTGTAGGGGAGGAGTTAACCCTGAAATATAAACATTGCATTTTCTCAATAACTGCAATATTTCATATTGCAGGGTTAAGGGACAGGCAGACTGCACAAAGACCATTTCATTGAGATGAAGTGTTCAGGATGACTATAGTGTCCCTTTAAGGTATTCCATATAAATACTACTTTCTATAAATTAGTATTTTATTACTTAACCCTCCAGTCTCCATCCTCCTACTTCAACTCATGCGGTCTTCAAATTCTTCTAATTTCAGTGAAAGGGATTCCTCCTTCTACTTCTTCCAGAGTGATATTCCATTGTACAGCGCTATGGAATCTGATGGCGCTATATAAATAATAAAATAATAATATGAGCATTGAGGATAACTGTGAAATTATAATTTGTGTGTGCTTCCTGCACTTTGCTCTGGATTATCTGTAAACTGTGCTACTGTCAATCCATACGTACTTGGGCCTGCTCCAGAATGAGTCATCTATATCAGCCTGTCTAACGGGAATTAATGAGAACCTGATCTATGTGTTGTGGGTATGGCAACCCCAGAGCTCAGCCGAAACCCCTTAACAGAGTACCGGCTGTGGCGGACCTGCACAGGACAACACAATTCACAGTTTTGAAATGTCACAAATGTCACAGTTCTTAGTTCTGAACTAGAAGAGTGACTCTTCTATGAACTAAAAACTGCAACTAGATGATGCTGAGCAAAATATGACAATGTGACAGTTTCTTTGCAATAATAAGACGAATATATATATATATATATATTTTTTTTAGGATTTACTGTATTCTTAAAACGTTTTACAATCCTAGAAGACAGCACATGATGGTATCCAGATGTTTGATTCAATATTTAAATAGAAATGTCTAAATGTCTTACCCTTTAATTGTATTAAATATTCTGTAGAGGGTGCTCCTTAGATCTTATTTTGTCTGTCCAATACTTGTTATATATCCAACTGTATAAAGGTACAGAGCTGCGCTACGGAAAATGTTGGCGTTATATGTATGCCAATAATAATAGAAAGAACTTAAACAAAACCACTCAATCTGAGAATTACTGCAATCAACCTTTCAAAGGTTTTTAACTCTTGCCGTTTGTGATTGGTTACTAGGCATTTCACTTTTTCCGTTTCATAACATCTCTCCTGACATCTGTTTCCTGTTATCAAGCCATCCCTGGACCAGGTTGTCTTCATTATGCCAAGATATACAATCTGTTTTGCTTTATCAAAAAGGAGAGAGTTTAGAAAGAAAAAAGGTAACAAATGTAAGTTAAAAAATGACGCATCAGAGAATTCCCTCCTGGCATGGCTCCCAGAGATTTTCGCAATATAGAAAGAACGGGACTACAACGGCTACATCAGCTCTATAAAAACGGGGAGTTTATACAATTTGCAGATATTCAATCAGGTAATCACCTAACCCCCGCAGACTTCTTTAGGTACGTTCAAATTCGGGATTTCGCGAAAAAACAACACATTAAAACAGCAGCCTTGGGGAAACCCACCTTCTACGAGAGATTATGTTCCGAAGGGGTAGCCCCCAAGGGGATGATCACACTACTATATGCACACCTTAGTGAAGAAAATGGAGAATGGGAAAGATTGTCCTACGCGGACCAATGGGAGACCGACCTCGGGGAGGTTCTGGAGGGGGTCGAATGGCAGGAGATATGGGAGGCGAATGCTACAGTCTCAATATGTGTCACCCTTCAGGAGCAGGCTTGGAAAACTATGTTTAGGTGGTACACTACCCCAATCAAACTACACAGAATGCACAAACTGGAGACTGACGATTGCTGGAGGGGATGCGGAGCACGAGGATCATACATCCACATGTGGTGGGAATGCCCTAAGTTGCGGGGATTTTGGAGATCCGTGGAGGACCTGGTAAGACAGACGTTCGACAGGCCCCTAAAATTGGATCCGTGGATATACTTGCTGAATAGATCTGTGGACGGGTGGACCAAAAGGGAACAGAAACTAGTACACAAGATTACTTTGTGTACACGCCGAGTGATTGCGACAGCGTGGCTCACACCTGAGGGCCCAGAATTCACAGGGGTTATCTCCAGAATCAAAGAGTGTAGAATCATGGACAATCTAACGGCAAGGGTGAGAGGGACCATCACGACATTCCAAAAAACGTGGGAACCATGGGACAATAGCATAGTGGGCTCGAATAGAGATTGAGAGCCTCACACATATGGGAATGAACCCAAGATCTACACATCCTTGCTGAAGGTGACTTGATTGTCAACAACGTGGCTGCGCTGCCCCCCCCCCATCCTCCCCTCACCCCTCCTCCCCCTTTTCTATTTCTCTGGTTTTTCTTGCCCCATCTTTTTTCTCTTCTTCTATCTCTCTTCCTTTCTCTTTGTTTTTTGTTTTGTTTTGTTTTTTAGGCAGGATCACACGGTCGGAGGAATAATGTAGCTTAAGTACTAGAATGATAAAGGCTATTTGAACTACTTAACGGCCTGTCTTTGTTTAAAACATAAATTACCCCAATAGACTGTGGGCCCCAAGGGTTTATAGTAAAAAGCGCATGCGAGGATAAGGTTGCATAGTATTTCCTTATAAAGTTATGTAGTTCCTTCGGCTTCCTCGTAAGCCTAAGAGTGTATATACACCTGTTCTGTTTATGGTGAAAATTAAAATTCCCAAAAAGGGAACATAAAGAATTTAACAGAAAAAGGAAGTGTATGAAAACGTAAAACCCTCAGTAGACGACAGGTACCAACGGTTTTTCTTTTCAAGGAATGGGCTTATGTTGTATCTGTTGCACTGCAATATGTTACCAAAATTTATATTCAAGTTGGCTTCTGCGTAAGCCCAAAAGTTTATGTAAACCCGCTGTGTCTATTGAGCAAAATCAAAGGATTAACAAAAAAATAAATAAAAAATATCCCTTGGCAGGTAGCCAAATAAGCATATCACTACTATAATCGCTGGTTTTGTACTGCATTAGCACCTGTATAACTACAATTGAATATGTTTGAGACTTATTGGGCTTTTGCATAAGCCATAATGTCAATGTTACCTGGCTACTTTTGTCAATATGAAAAATAAAGAATTAAAAAAAAAAATGATGCATATATATATATATTTTTTTAACCAATTATCACCTGCCTGTATGTTACAAAGAAGCGTTAGTTCTGCTTTCCTCTCACAGGAGCAGCATTAATAAAATTAACAAATTGTAGCATTGGTTTTTTTTAAGCTTTCAAATAATTCAACATTGTTAGAAAAACTTTCAAATGATTTATCTACAGGAACTTTTGTAGAGGAAATTATTTAGATTTTTGTAACAGTATTGAATCATTTGAAAGCTTATGAGATCCAACCTTGTTTCCTAATGTACCTTTCTTTTTTATTGAATTTTCTTTGAAAGGCGTCTATGCAGAAGCGTTTGCCACATGTAGATTTAACAATTTCTTCTGGAAAGGAATCACGTTTAGATATGCACATATGGACAGGGGACATAAGAATTCCTAGAAATTTTGAGGGGAACTGCTGTAGAGGCTTGCATGATGTATGCAATTTCAGGAGGGAATCAGTTATAAAGGAAGATTGTGGTTTATGTATACTGGAAAATGAATTATGTAAATATAGATTGCTATATAAACACGTGTTTTAAACTGCTTATTGTACTGTACACCACCTTGCTCTTGTCCCCAGACCCCACGGTGGGTCATTTTATTAAAATAATTGCTGGGGAGTGAGGCATAGTGGCTTTCATATGAATGGAAATTTGGACAAAAACATGTTCGTCTGAAAACTAATGCCCAAATCTACTTTAAACTACAATAAATGTGTTTAGAAATTGTCTGTACAAGCAAGATACATTGTTCTTGTTCTAAAATTTTGTTGCATAAATTGTTTTTATTAAGTCACCTAAATTCTTTTCAGAACAGCTCCACCCCTGGCCACACCCCCACTCACAGCACTAAAATTAAAGGGACAATTGAATATGTTTGAGACTTATTGGGCTTTTGCATAAGCCGTAATGTCAATGTTACCTGGCTACTTTTGTCAAGATGAAAAAATAAAGAATTTAAAAAAAAAAAAAATGATGCATATATATATATTTTTTTTTAACCAATTATCACCTGCCTGTATGTTACAAAGAAACGTTAGTTCTGCTATCTCACAGGAACGCATTAATAAAATTAACAAATTGTAGCATTGTTTTTTTTTTTTTAAGCTTTCCAAATAATTCAACATTGTTAGAAAAACTTTCAAAATGATTTATCTACAGGAACTTTTGTAGAGAAATTATTTAGATTTTTTTTTTTTTTTGTAACAGTATTGAATCATTTTGAAAGCTTATGAGATCCAGCCTTGTTTCCTAATGTACCTTTCTTTTTTATTGAATTTTCTTTGAAAGACGTCTATGCAGAGCGTTTGCCACATGTAGATTTAACAATTTCTTTACGGAATCGTTTAGATATGCACATATGGACAGGGGACATAAATTCTAAATTTTGAGAACTGCTGTAGGCTTTCATGATGTATGCAATTTCAGGAGGGGAATCAGTTATAAAGGAAGATTGTGGTTTATGTATACACAAATTACACTATGTAAATATAGATTGCTATATAAACACGTGTTTTAAACTGCTTATTGTACTGTGCACCACCTTGCTCTTGTCCCCCAGACCCCCACGGTGGGTCATTTATTAAAATAATTAACTGGGGGGGGGAGGGGAGTGAGGCATAGTGGCTTTCATATGAATGGAAATTTGGACAAAAACATGTTCGTCTGAAAACTAATGCCCAAGTCTACTTTAAACTACAATAAATGTGTTTAGAAATTGTCTGTACAAGCAAGATACATTGTTCTTGTTCTAAAATTTTGTCACATAAACTGTTTTTATTAAGTCACCTAAATTCTTTTCAGAACAGCTCCACCCCTGGCCACACCTCCACTCACAGCACTAAAATTAAAGGGACACTGTAGGCACCATAAATACTTTATCCCATTGAAGTGCTTATAGTATCTGAAGTGCCTATAAATGTTTTAATGCTAAATAAGCATCACCAGCAACCCATTCCCTCTGTACTGATTGGGCTTATGAGGAAGCATTAGTCTGTGCAGCAATGGATGGCTGTGTATGGGTGAGAATGTCAGCTGACTGCTTTTGGCCTATCACAGCACTTTTGCAAGTATGACTTGGTATGGTTAAAAGAAAATGTGTACTATGTGCCTTAGCCACAAAGCTAGTGGGGGTGGGGCTATGGGATGCTAGGGACCCTTATTTGGTGTTAGACTGCTAGAAAATGGTTTAACACTGAATGGACAGCACCGGGGAACTCCAAACACTATAACCAATTAGAGTAGATAAAATGCTTATAGTGCCTATAGTGTCCCTTTAAAATGTCCCTCTTTGTTCATTTGAAATGTTAAGAGGCACGTGCTGGGTGTATGTTATCATCAGTAGAGTTATAGCTCTTATTATTATTATTGCAATTTATGTACCGTCAACAGATTCCGTAGCGCTTTACAATATTATAAGAGGGGGAATTTAACTATAAATTGGACAATTACAAAAAACTTACAGGAACGATAGGTCGAAGGGGACCCTGCTCAAACGAGCTTACAGTCTATAGGAGGTGGGGTGTAAAACAAAATAGAACAGGGAATAGCAATCAAAAAAGGTGGAGTGAAGCAGAGTTGGAGGAGAGAGTAAAGTGATGCCCTTTAGGAGAGAGCAAGGAACAAGTATGTAAGTTAGTGGTTACTCTGGGAGGCCATAAGCTTTCCTAAAGAGATGGGTTTTAAGGCACTTCTTAAACGATTGAAGACTAGGGGAGAGTCTGATGGCAGTAGGCAACAGGGATGGACTGACAGTGGCCTGGGCCCCCGGGCAAAATTAGTACCTGGGCCCCCAGCAGACCGATATATATGCTGGTGTAGGTATACGTGTATTTGATTGTATGTACATGTAAAGTGAATGTATGTTTCTGTGTGTATATTCACTGTGAGCGCTAGTGTTAGTGAATATATGTATGTCTTTGTGTGTAGTGTCAGGATATGTGGATTCATAGTATATTCAAATACATGTTTTTGGTTTTGTAAATATGGTAGTAGTTTTGTGTGTGCTTGTGTAGCATTGCAGTATGTATATGGGGGTATTTGTGAATTTTGCCAATGTGTTTGTATGAGGTATGCAGGCCTCCAAATTCTGCGTCTTAAATTACAAACCAAGTGTTAAAGGAACACTTTAATGTCAGGAATACAAACGTGTATTCCCCCCTTAAAAACTTGATTTACTCACCTTTTTTCCAGCACCAACCAAACTCCTTGGCAGAGTTCATCAATTTAGATGATCTCAGCCAACCCAATGCTCTACCATAGGAAAGCACTGGAAATCTATTATGCTTGCGTGGCAAAATTCTAAGCTGCACCAATCACCATCTCCTCATAGAGATGCATGGAATCAGTGCTTTTCTATGACAAGAGTTCAGCGTCTCCATGCAGAGCATGGAGATGCTGCATGTCAGTGCTGCACATTTTGCAACACTGGCACAGGAAGCACCTAGGTGTTCCTAGGCAGCAATGTAAACACTCAGGAAAACAAAGTTTTGAGACTTTTTTACTTAACTTAACAGCTGCATCCACCTCCTGATAAGAAACATCTTTATATCTGACAATTTGTATTGTTGGGACAAGACTATGTAGTACTACCTGTTCAATTTCACGTGGCTCAGCCCTCTATTTTGTTTTCCTGTGTGTTATTTTGAAGGATTGAGAGGGATCTCCTTCTTAGGGTTGCTGCTTTGTTTTTTATGATTTTCTGTTTTTAAGCGCTAACCCAT